ACGTATTACAAACCATATCAAAGAGTGAAATGACTTTTATCTGACAAATCGGCCATTTTAGATAAATTTTGGTCGACATTTTGAATTTCCGCCATCTTGGATTTTGAAAACTCTTTTTTTTCTTTAGATTAATTTTAAGTTCAGTGACAGTGAAAACCCTTTAGATTACATATTACAAACCAAATCAAACTGTGAAATGACTTTAATCTGACAAATCGGCCATTTTAGGTAAATTTTAGCCGCCATTTTGAATTTCCGCCATCTTGGATTTGGGGAAACTAGTTTTAGAGATTATTTTTCAGTTCAATTACAACAAAAACCTTATATATGATATATTACAAGCCATACCTTGCATGAAAATCACCCATCCTATCTGGAAATTCATTTTACGTCAACTTTTGGCGGCCATTTTGGAAATCAGACAAACCCCAACCGAAAATGACGTCATAGATAAAAAAAATTCTAAAAATCGTGTTCAGCTAGCAATTTCGCCTCTGGAAATTGCTGGCCTGAAATGATTTGTAAAAAAAATGTCTTATTGTGACACCCCTATTCTTACGCTATTTGGGAACGAACGGCGGCCATTTTGTCTGTCAATTTTGGGCCGATTTTCACGAAATTCGAACTCAGACATCCTTAGGGTGTAACGGTTATATAATAGAACGGTTTTTTAAATCGGATAAAAATTATGACTTCTATAGGGTCCACAAGCTAAAAACGTGATTTTTCGTACAATCAGGGGCCATAATTCAGGAAGTTACGGTCCGATATGCACGAATATCGAAAGGAACCGAGATCTTTGGGTTATAAACTTACATTTCAAGTTTCAACAAAATCGGATAAAAATTGTGACCCCTATAGGGTCCACAACCTTGATATACCATATTCTTACGCTATTTGGGAACGAACGGCGGCCATTTTTTCTGTCAATTTTGGGCCGATTTTCACGAAATTCGAACTCAGTCATCCTTAGGGTGTAACGGTGACATAATAGAACGGTTTTTTAAATCAGATAAAAAATTATGACTTCTATAGGGTCCACGAGCTAAAAACGTGATTTTTCGTACAATCAGGGGCCATAATTCAGGAAGTTACTGTCCGATATGCACGAATATCGACAGGAACCGGGATCTTTGGGTTATAAACTTACGTTTCAAGTTTCAACAAAATCGGATAAAAATTGTGACCCCTATAGGGTCCACAACCTTGATATACCATATTCTTACGCTATTTGGGAACGAACGGCGGCCATTTTGTCTGTCAATTATGGGCCGATTTTCACGAAATTCGAACTCAGTCATCCTTAGGGTGTAACGGTGATATAATAGAACGGTTTTTTTTAAATCGGATAAAAATTATGACTTCTATAGGGTCCACAAGCTAAAAACGTGATTTTTCGTACAATCAGGGGCCATAATTCAGGAAGTTACTGTCCGATATGCGCGAATATCGAAAGGAACTGAGGTCTTTGGGTTATAAACTTACATTTTAAGTTTCAACAAAATCGGATCAAAATTGTGACCTCTATAGGGTCCACAAGCTAAAAACGTGATTTTTCGTACAAACAGGGGCCATAATCCATGAAGTTTCGATCCGATACATGCCAATATCGAAAGCAGCCGAGATCTTTTGGGGATACACCTATATTTCAAGTTTCGTCGAAATCGGATAAGAATTGTGACCTGTAGAGAGTCCACAAACAATTGTGGACGGACGGACGGACGGACCTCCGGACGGACAGGGGCGACGGCATAATACGTCCACATGAAAATGTGGGCGTATAAAAATTGTTCAAAAGGTAGTGTGAAAATATGTCGGAACAAGAAGTTGAAAATACTTACTTCAAGGTGCACTATATATTATCATATTTACTTAAGCAACTCACAAGAAATAAACCTTCTGATATGAGGGCTGGCTGAAAAGTTCTAAGCCTATCTGTGAAAGACCTGCACAAAGTCGATGGTTTCCCCCCTTCCTGGTGTACACACTTTTGCCAACGATGTTGCAAGGCTAGGATGCCTGTCGGGAAGAAATTTTCTTCAGCCACCCTAAAAAAAAGCGGTTCACCACTGACATTACTAAGAAAATGACGACCGGATAGTTCCTTTTTCATTTTTGGAAACAGGTGGCAGTCAGGCAGGCTAGGTGAGTAAGGTAGATGGTCAATGAGTTTGAAGCCACGTCTTTAGTGAACATTTCCTGTCGCTTGGCTTTAATAACTTCACGAACTTCACGCAGCTGTCTTAGTAAGTCAGCGTAATATCCAGCAAAAGGAACCAACTTTGATTTTTTGGAGGCCGGCGACTCCGGATGATTCTATTGTTTAGACTGAATTTTGAATTCTGGTAAAGTGATGAACCCAGGCCTCATCCATGGTTACAAATCTTGCCAAAAACTTATCAGGATCTGCTTCAAAACGGCACAGATTGTCATGGAACGTCAGGATATGCTTCAAAACGGCACATATTGTCACGGGACGTCAGGAATCCTACACGTTTCGGATCTGCAGTCTAGAACTTTGGTACCCATCTTGCAGAAACTTTTGTCATTTCTAACTCCTTGGCGATAATACGCTTAACCCTATCATGAAAGATGCCCACAACATTGGCAATATGTCAAGTGGTCAATCGTCGATCAGCCATCACCCTGTCATTACACCCGGGTAATGCTTTCTTAATGGTTGCTGTTGATGGCCTTCCAGGGCGAGACTCATTGTCAAGGCTCTATCTGCCATGCTTTAATTCCGCAGCCCGCTTCTTTACTGTGGAAAAGGAAGGGCGTCATCCCCTAAAGTGGAGAACATGTCGGCGTGTATCAGCGTTGGGGTTAGTCCTTTCAGTTGCAGCTACTTGATGACTGCCCTATAGCCAGTTTTGTCCATTTCTGGTGATTTTAGTGGGTAGGTTCACAAGATAGTCTGGTACGAAGACAATAATAACATTTAAAGTTGAAGTCTACGATTCATTCAATGATTGTACTTGTTGGTGCAGGGGTGGTTCCAGGAATTCTTGCAGGAGGGGGTTCGCCAAGTTCTTATTAAGGCAATTGGACAATTGACAATGCATGGTGCAATCATCGTCTCCAAATTACGTTGGTATGCATACACACTGAGCTGTTTAAAGAGAGAAATCCAACACCCCGTTTGACGTGGACCCCCTGGATCCGCCACTGTGGTGGCAAAAGTTTGTTTCAATCCAATTAAAACTTTTTAGTCAGCCCTCGTAAAGCCATTACACAGTTTACGAAAAAAGTAAACATTGGTCGAGAATGTAAAAATAAGATAATATGTCACTTTAAGATGAGGTCAAACAGTTTCATTTGAACAAATCTCAGCAAGCAACATACCTACTGCATTTCCATTATGCCAACCAAGAAGTGTAGATGAAGAAGTCCCTTTTCGGTGCTAAAGCCCCACCCCGATCAACAAATCTGAATAAGTACCACCCAAACAACATACGTAAAGTAGAGTAACACTAATAGATTGATCCTTTAAGATAAATGTAGCAAAAGCCTTAGGCTTAAAGTTCCATTTTGAGAAGATCTAGTGCTGGTCAGGTCACAGAACTCATTCTATACTTCGGGATTTATCGATAGACCAAATAATCTGTAACCCACAGAAGACGTTTACCGATCATGAAATGATTTGTCCTATAGATATGAAACCTCAAGATAAATCCACTTATGTGGCACAGCCCTTACCAAGTGCTTTAGGACAAGTCAAATATTTGCAATAAATTGTCTACAGTTTCCTTTTTAAGGTGCCCATGTCCCACCCCTATGTAGCCGATCAATGTCATTTGAACAAATTACAAATCTGAATAAGCACTAACTTTTATGGATATTGGGCGACAAGCTTCATTGGAGCAACTCGAAACAAGCACCACCCAAGCAGCATATGAAATCCAATCTAGTTTATTCAATCTGTGCTATGGGCATATTTTTCTGTGAGAAGAGAAACAAAAGAATATTATTTCTGCAAAGTATACGTTGATTAGGCATACTGTTGAATTCTGCCCCAATTTTCCGGATTATTTGTGCCGACAGATTTCAAGAAATGGTGTAGCAACGATGTGAATTTCTAAAAAATATAATGTCGATTTAGTGGTTTGGAGTTGGATTTAGGATACCCATAGCAACCCAAGCACCTGCAGCACTTCTACACGAATCTATTTGTCCCAACGGGCATAAATTGCATAGATGTTTAGCATTACATTTTGTGTGCAACATTATACATTTTCCTATTTGAAAACAACCTATTTTGTATGAAAAAATTATATGATATTTTGCAAACTATGTCCCTCAAATTCTGTACCAAACCCACTAAGAATGCACAATCAAAATTTTCTCACAGCCAATTCCCCATGGCCCCAAGCTTTTATACATACATATTGGTTCCTCGGTGTCTGAGAGCTGATATTGTTTGAAACAGTCTGCATGCACATCTGGTATCACTTCCCATTTGAGAATTGATATATCTGATACATATTTATAAACGGCCGTTATACTTTGGTATTTCCAATGAATACCTATATCAATTTACTTATACGCCATGTCAAGATAATTAAATTTTGTATTGGAAAACCTCAACCATCATTTAGGTAAAACTTGTATCAAATTTACCGATTTTGCACTAAATGGAACCAAATAGTCTCGGGGGAACATGGATGCATTTTGGGAGGGCTGCAGTGTTTGTTCTTTTAGTAAATATTTCTGTATTTTCTGGATACGATTGCATAATATTGCACTTGCATTTTGTTATTTGTGAACCACACAAATCTAGCCTACAAATTAATGTTACAATACATTACGATTCTCTATAGTGATTGTCATCTTTTTTATACCACATCATCATGGTTCAACAATTATTGTTGAATTAGTCATACATGTCATGTTATATATTGTATATTCCACATCATCATGGTTCAACAATTATTGTTGAATTAGTCATACATGTCATGTTATATATTGTATATTCCATCCTCTATGCTAAAATCATTCTAGCTTCAGCAGTTGTGCATCGCAGTAAGTATTCTTTTGGAATTGAAATTGGGTTTAACGTTCTATGTTTCTCCACCAGCCAGGCCTATGAAGATCGGGGTATTCTTTTAGTAGATGTGCATATGTTCACTTTTATTTTGATTTGAGTTCAAGAGTTTTTTTTTCTCTCGTAATTTGTTTATATAACTTTGACAACTGGAATTGTTTAAAACAGCTTTTTAATATAATAACGTGTTCATACGCTCAATTTTATTTTGATTTGAATTTAAGAAGATTTTTTTCTCGTAACTTGTGTATGTAACTTTGACATTTGGAATTGTTTAAAACGGTATTTTTGATATATAATAACGTGTTCAGGACAACAGAAACTATAACAATACGCAAATTAATATTTGGTCTATTACATTTCGTCATATTACTCCAAATATATTTGAATCAGTGGCCATTACATAAATTAATTACTTGTTTTATTTTACTTTAAAGGGGGAACAGAAGTAAACACCATGTATATGGCAATTTATGAATACGAAGTCCATAATAAAGGTGATATAACTCTTTCGGTTGGTGATCGCATCGATCGCATCAAATATGTTGGGTGTGGCTGGGTGATTGGTCATAATGTCACCACTGGTGAAACAGGCCATTTTCCAGCAGATTACATAGAATCGGTGTCCAGTTGGAGAGACAAGTTTGCCTTCGGATCTTCAAGAAGGGGAACATATAAAATCAACAGTGCAAATAAGTATTCATTCAAAACATCTCTTAAAGAGAAAGGTGAGAATGTGGGAAATAAACAATCCAAAACTCCAGAAAAAACTCTTGATGACACCAACCACGTTGATATCATCGAAGAAGTACAGTTACCAACAAGAGCCGATGGAGCTTATGAAAGAATTCAAAAGAGATTGTTTGAAACCCAAAGCAGAAAATGCATTGTAGTAAAATTTTTACTTGGTGTGTTTGCTGGGTTGATATTAGGCTTGGCAATTTTCTTTGCACTGGTGTACAGCTTTCATTATAGTCTTTTAGTAGCGGGAACAATTAGTGGCATTTCAACATTTTTGCTCTGTCTGGGCTTAGCTGTTTCAAGTCGTTGCCGATGTGTGGTACTTTTGGTGTTTCCAAGTTTAACAACAGGCAAAGGGAGAGCTGCTATTTTATCGGTGATAACAGGAGTTCTCTTAATGGGACCTGTCACTAATATCACGTACAACACCAATGAAGTAGCGGTCAGTATGGCGTGTATAACGGAACTTGCCTATAATCAAAGTCAAGCCTTACAGAACAAAATACAAGAACCTTTACTGCAGATACGAGATCAGATTACACAAGGCGTGGCAGACGTCAAAGAGTATTCTACAAATATCAATCGGGCATTTGAATCAACCCGTACGTCATTAAAGAGCGCAATTCAGAAAGTCAAAGATGTCCTTGAAAACAACAAAAATGTAAGTACATGTATAGGATTCTTTCAAATGTAAATATGCATTGTCGGCTCCGAAACTTTCAGAAAGAAGTGGATCTTGTCTCCCCCTCTGAAAATGTTTTAAAACCATAGGAGGGAGAGGGTTTTACACAGGCTAAGTCTGTTCTATTCAGAAATCCTGAATGGCACGCATAACGCGTTTTGGAAAACAATCCACTGAAATAACTGCATCTTAGCGTCGATTAGAAAATGGCAGACTGGCTGAGTTAGTCTTCCGTGCATTTTGTAAATGTTATTACCATTTCAATGTTTTGAAGTTTAGATAGGGATCATCCTTATTACTAGTCAACAGATTCCAAGATGTTCCGAGGACCCAGAGAGTGCAGTGCAAGATTTTGATGGCACGGGCAATAGCCCAGCGTGGTTTTGTTTCGTTTTTTATTTAAAAGAAACCAATCGACCCTTGTTAACAACGTAATATCATCCATTTGTAATCCATTTATCATTACAGAAATGTATCATAAATGTTGATTCAGGACTGGTTCAGTGTCGGAAGAAATCACAGGAATTGGCGGCAAAATGTCGTAGTACATTAAGTTCTGTTAATATGACGACAAATGAGATTGATAAAGTTATTAAAGCCGTCGAAGATTTTTTCACTACAAAAAGGCGTCGACGAAGACGTGAAGTTTGTATTCCTGATGATCAAAATTGTTTTCCATTTCAACGGTAAATATATTTTTCTCTCCTCCTTCTTGACAATAGATGGCTAAAATTGTCTGGCCCCGGAGGATAAACGTACACTTTTTGACAGCAACGCCCAAACTATCGCCAAAAAAAGAGAGGCCAGGAAGGATATATTATAGCACAACATATATCCAAAATTTACTTTTGGACCCCACCCCACCCTTTTGTCAGTTACTGTTAGTGGTTAGTAGGACCCCCCCCCCCCCCTCAACAGCACTCTACCCCAGAAAAATCAAACAACGGTGCAGCCTGCAATACTCGATTTGATGACTTCACTAGACTTCGACAACGACCACTGCGCGTGCACGTAAACGATCCCTTGGCAGTTGGAATTCGATATAAGAGTAGGCCGTAGCACCGCTGCCCGGGGAAAATTTCCCTCATAGCACACTGTATGGCGTATGGCGTATGCCCGTCTTCATTAGCCCAGTTTAGGAGCAAAACAGTAGGACTTTAAACCCCATTTCATTTTATTTGTTTTTCTTTTCAGATTTAGACGTCAATCGAGCGTACTCGCTCGGTTTTGTAATATATTCGACGTCCCAGAAGTCATCTGCCGATCTGTCAACTCACCAGATGTCTGTTCATTAGTTTCATTACCCGGTGAGCTTTTAAAAGGCGGGTCCGAAATTTTGGACAAAGCTTTGGGTGATTATTCATCACTCTTTGTCGTTGATATCGGCAGCTCCGGAGAAATTGTAAGTGAATCAAAGGCTTCACAAACAGCGTCGGAAATAGTCAACAACATCCGCTCAGAGTTGAAATCGAAAATAGACCTGGCCAAATTTTGTATTAACATATTGCATCGGATAATGTCCGCCTCGTTTGTTTTACTCGTAATAAATGCTGTCCTCTATGAAAGGAAATATGCTTCTAAAGTATCCTTCGACAATATCTACATTACTTCATATTTCAAAAAAATTGACCGGAAGCGAAAATTAGATGGCAAAATGTCCGTACTTCCATTGAAGAAGCTGGAGCGAAAGTTGTACACGGATTCCAGATCATTTAAAATGTCGTCTGCTGAGCGGAGTAAATGTATGATAGGTTTAACGACTATATTGTTGCATGCTGTTATTTGTATGATGGTCGTTATCTTTGATTTCCTCTTACATTACCTTCTATATCTACTCAACCGACATGGTGACGTACAATTCGTGTTTACAGGACAGTCCGATCTGGATATTGAAATCACTGGAAACAGCATTGTGGCTCTGTTGTTCAAAACTCTAGCTGGAAGTGTCAAGGTATCTCAAGACTACAATACGTCCGGCAATATCCAAATATGCCTTCCACAACCCCGAGAGCCAAGTATGTCGACCATCTACCTTTCTTTCGCACTCTACCTGGTAGCCCTGTTGTTCGTCGTATTACAAGGTTACGGTCAGCGGCTCTTGCATTTTATCACCGCTTTTTTCTACCCAGAAAAGGAACAACAAAGAATCAATTACCTCTACCGCAAAATTCTTGTCAAGAGACAAAACTTTATCAAAGAGGCAAAACAACGAATTTTATGTATTTCCAATCAAGACGCGGGTGACCAAGGAAGATGTTGCTGCAACGCGATAATGGCTAAGTTTACCTGCTCCGGAAGATCTTGTGCTAATTGCGAGGAAACAAAAGGGGATATTTCTCAATGTAAAAACGAGGCTTGTGGTGCGTATTATTGTGAGGAATGTTTTATTGAACTAGATAAATGTTGTCCATTATGTGCTGTAAGCGGAGACAAGGAAGTTCTGGCAAACCAAACTTTTGTGGCTCACGCAAAACAATAGACGTTTCAGGGGTGGATCCAGGAATTTTTGCAGGAGGGGGCTTGCCAGATTTCTGAGACAATGTCTCTATCCAAAACCAGTTTTACGTCAATTTTGATTATGCCCATCCCATCCCACCATCTCTGGCGATAAAGGATAAAGCACATGACTGGGACACCTTACTCATAAAAAGTGTTGTTTTACAAATATTTTTATGTAACTGAGCAGTGGGAAGGAGGGGCGCAAATCCCGCCATCCCCATTCTGGATCCGTCCCTGCGTTTATTACATCTCCCGACACAATCTTTAATTAGATTTCTCCCGACATGGATTGTCTAAGTAAGATTAAAATTGTTCTTGATAACTCTTCTTCGTTTTGGAAATTTCTTAAAAATATGTTGAATCATAGCAGCCCTTTAAGCATCGCCCCCTTGCAATATCTCGAATAACAAGGAATCTGCAATTTGTTCAGAGTTAAAAGGAATATGCTGCCCGATACCAATAGATAGCGGGTCTATAGCAGTACATGGGTATTGAAACAAATTATGTGGTCTGGTCTGGTCTTGACCAAACACTTTCTTACTCATCGTAGAAACTGTTGATTTGAAGACTACCTTTTCCTTTCACCGCCCGGAAAAATTCGGCCCAGGTCCAAAATTGAATGCTTTCAGAAATTTGAGTGATTGAGTGAAACTTCAAACTAATTATAATTTTTGTTGTAATGATTATAAAGCATTGACCATAACATTGAGCAATAAATATATTTACTATAGTTCATTATTAAGGAAGGAAATGGCATACTTTCATTACTAACTGAATATGAGAAGATTTTCTATGACTAAGCAGGATATAAATATTTGAGAATCCTTGTTTTCTCATCTGTTTTTTGTATAAATATTAATTACATAAAGAGTTTGTTTACTAGAAATAATATAAGTGGTGGATGGCGTCCATCTTCTTTTCTTTGATAAACAAACTGCTATTCGTACAGTTCTTCATAATTTTTAGATCAAACACTTTTGAGAAATAAATTTTTTTTTATATGACATGTTTAGTTCAAGACATGGGCAAACCATCCAGTGCCAGATATAATTCAGGTGGTCAACAAGTCATAGAGGCTTAATGGTAGACTGAAGAAAAAAGGACTAGGGTACAAACTAGATGAATAGCAACAGCTTTGAAAAATCTACCCCATCCCCCATTTGATTAGTAAACTTCCCCTAGATGTCTAGATGTCTTTGACTTCCTTGAACAATTTCCAGTTCTGGTTTCCACAACAAATCATGAGCTAGGTGGCTCAGTGGATAAGGGCTTGATCCTGGTGTTGGTCAAGTAAATTCCCCAGGATTTTCCAGCGTGGTTTCCAATTGTCCATGGTGCAGTGTGGAGGACATGGCAAGGAACAGCATCTAGTTGTTATGAAAACAGAGGTCCACGTGTACACCTGTAGCAATATTGTATAATATATGTAAATAGTTTTATAAAGTTAAAATTATATTTTGCATAATGTGATTCTATTATGACTCCGGGTACATGTTATAGCGAATGACCCCCTAATTAAAGATTAGATAAAGAGCTGACAGTTCTGGCTATAATAGTTAAAGAATAGATAATGTAAAGAGAATAGGATGAAACTTTCAGTCAAATTGCTCCAGTCTGAACCAAGATATTAGAGATCGAATTTTAGGCCTAGCATCGATCATCATTACTAAAGTCGGTACGATAAAAATCAAAGTCTCAAAGTCCTGATTATTCATTTTGACGTTAAATCATCCATCACAAAATGTGTTCAAATTCAGTAATTATTGGAGGCTAGCGATCGCATGGAGAGTTAATTATGGCCTGAATAAGTTAATGTCTAATTAATAATTTAGATAACATTTCAGAAAGACCTGCAATAGGATGATTTAGCTCTTGCATAATGTATGTTTAGAAAAGCCCTATTTATATGTCTCCATTTAAAAGCTACGGTGAGTGAGGAGTTCTAAAAATTATATTAACAATCAGGATACATTAAAAAATTTAGGAAGTCCACACAGTTTATCTTTCTGTTCAATAATGATATGAAAAGGCTGTATTTTGGATTACAGAAAATATATTAAACACACCCATATTATATTACATAATTTATTTTACAACTGTTTTCAGTCCTTACAATAACAAGCGATATATTATTACTATATTACAATCAACATTGCTGTTAATATTTTATTCTATAAATCACTACGAACTCCAAATCCAGGACCTTTAGGGGGGTCCGTTAAAGAGGTTAATCCTGTTTTGGGTTCAGAAGCAAATCTCCAATCTTGACCACTCCTGAAAAATAAATAGTCTATGTGTATTTCATACATTTTCACGAAACATACGCCCACAACAGCTAAATCATCCGGGCAGTCAACAAGAGTTGTTGCATATTTTTACTTTTTTCGGTAATGAAACATTTATAATACACTAAAATCTGATTAAGAGCAACAACTCATGAAGTAATTATCAGAAAACCATTAGAATCTGTTTGTTTGTATAAAGTTCTGCCCCATGCTAATGTTTTGTATACAAAACTTTTAATACTGTATCATGGATTTAGCTGTTCAAGACATAGAAATCCATTGAAAATCAATATACTTGTTCGCCTCAAGATCTTAAACTCTGTGTATCAATCTGAAGTCAATTGGATGATAACTTTAGTCTTTAGAGCGTCACAAAGTAATCAAGGGCCATAACTCTGGCAATAAATATCGGAAATCGGTGAAAATCAATAGGCTTCTTCGTCTCAAGACCTTAAACACTGTGTATAAATTTAAAGTCAATCAGATATTAACTTTGGCCTCTAGAGCATCCACAAGCAATTGTGGACGCCGGACGGACGGATGGACGGACGGGGGCGATGACAATATACGACCACATTTCAATGTGGGCGTATAAAAACATACATCCACAGCAGCTAATTCGTCTGAGCGGTCAACAAGGGTTGTCGCATATTTAATCTTTTGTGGGTAATAGGGAAATTTACAAGACAAATTTCATACAGATCAGATTATAATTTTCGTCCTTTGAGGGTTCACAAAGTGCTGCAAACTGAAACAAGACAGCCTTTTTTATTTTACTAATTTAAAAAATGCATATAAATTTCATACAGATCGGATGATGATATTTGCGGTTTTAGCATTCATATTGTTCAACAAAGTAAAGCAAGGGCCATAACGCTAGAAGCAATTGACAGAAATTGCTATAATTAAATAACTTTCTTCATTTCACTAACTCAAATGATGCACATAAATTTCAGATAATAACTTTTGTTGTTAGAGCATTCAAATAGTTTAACAAAGTGAAACAAGGGCCATAACTCTAGGGGCAATTTACGGAAATTGCTGAAATTTATTAGGTTATTCGTTTCACTAATATAAATTTCATACAGATTGGAAGATAACTTTTGTTGTTTGAGCATTCACAGGTTGAAATAAAGTGAAACAAGGGCCATAACTCCAGAAAAAATTAACAGGAGTTATTGAAATTAAATAGGATTCTTCATCTCAGTAATGTAAACAAAATATATCAACTTCAAAACAATCAGATGATGAATGTAATCTGTAGAGTATTCACAAGAAAGTGGATGACGGACGAATGGAGGCGACGGCAATATAATATATATGACCACATTTCCATGTGCCCGTGGGCGATAAATGGTGATGGCACATACGTGATGAAAATGTAATTAAGAGAAACATGATTCAATGTTTGCAACAAACTATATAAGAAAATATTACAGGGAGCCATGTGACTGATGTTAATGAGAGCTATAATACAAAGAGACTTGTTAATGATAGCTATAATATAGACAGACATGTAATAGAGAACTTACTGTGGTCCAGGTTTTGGCATCTTTCCTGATTTAATGTCATTGAGAATTCTGTTTGTGTCTTCAACTGTTAAGTCTTCCTGAAAGGGTAAAATATTCAACATAAAAAAAGGTATAATATTTAAAAAATGTATAATATTATAATATTCAATCTTTCTTACCAAAAATCATATTAAAATTAAAATACATTTAGCCAAATGAAACTTACATAATAATTATCATTAATCTGTATCATAGGAGCATTAACACAAGCACCTAGACATTCTACTTCAGCTAGTGTAAACATACCATCTTTAGTTGTTTCTCCAACTTTAACACCTAAAAATAATTTCACTTTAATAATATCTTCAATAAGATTCCATGATCCATAATAAATCAGGTTCATAATGTGTAATTGTTGACAGATGACTATATACAGAGAGAGTGAGAGAGAAATGGGGTTTAACGTCCACTCGACACAACTAGGTCATTTCGGGACTAACATATGGTTTAATTTTATTTCAATAATTCGCTTGCGCGTAGAGGTCTTTAGCAGTGGGAGGAAACGACCATATACACCCATAAGTCAAGAAATAACCTGTATTGTGTGGATGTTAAACTCTCTCACTCTCATTAAATAAAATAAAGCCACTTGAGTCAAATTTTTTTTCCATGGAAACACTAAAATTGGCAAAAGGCGCAACTACTGATGTGTGTATAGTTTGTAAAGATGTTTTAGGAGGTTCTTAAGATGTGCTCTATTATCTAAAACAGGACGGCCGGCAGGACAGGCTCATGAAACCCATTTCAATATTCTTCTTACTTTGGTTCAGCGCAAGATAATTAGTCATGCTTGATAATTATATATATATAGAAGATTTACCTAGATTATCTTTGATTGCCTGTAAGATAACATCGGAACCAACACCACCTAACATACATGGTGTGGTCGTACAGATCTGAACAAAATATTTACCAACAGGTTCCCTGTAACATTCATATACACATTGTCATTAATAAATTAAATAACATATTAAAAAAATCACAATTTAATGAGCTTTCATGCTTGAAAGTTGAAACAAGTATGAACTCATATACTCTTCAAAAAAAGAATACCACACAGATGTAGCCAGGCTGCTGAATGTTTCCCAGAGTACCATTTCTTGCCTTTGGGATAGGTACCAACAGCAAAGTTCAACACAAGCTCAGGCCAAACATCCGGTTACGTTATTTGCGGAAACGGTTCACAACAGCGACCACTACTGCAGCAGCAATTCCTGAACCGCATAGGATCTCAGACCAGACAGTCCATAGACGCCTACGTGAAACTGTATTTCGAGCCAGACGTCCCGTTAGAGCTGTTGCTTTGAAATAAGGTTCAGACACACAGGGTATGGCCACAGCAATGCTGGAGAATAGTTTGGTTCAGCGACGAGTCATGGTTCCTGTTGCAACGAGGCGATTATACGTTTCTTTTTTTGAAGAGTATATTTAAAGGTTACTAATCAATGGCAGATGTTTTAAAATAGGAAACTAAAATTCAAATGACTGCTACTTGCCAGCTACATGTTTATAATAATAAAGATATTTTCTTGGTACAGTGTATTGGTGTAATTATAGTTCTGAATCACAAAGGCATGCATCTTTAAAGGTTATATTTCTTTATCTTATCAGGCAATTTCTTTATAAAAAAGAATTTATATCACATTGGATCATAAAGAAATATATATATTATTAGATTAATCTGAACATCAATGATTTCATTTACTGGGATGCTAAAACAGAGAGTGAATGTGATACAGCAAATGAATACACAAGTACAATGGCTTAACACTCAAAATAATAAAAACAAAAGATATATCTTCTCAAGAAAGGGCTTTTTTTAAAGAGAAAAAAAAAAGGAAAGAGGGGAATACCTACCTGTTAAACATAGTATAAAATGTAGCTACTTCATACACTCTCATTCTGGGCATTTTTAACATATCAGCTACAGCATGCATCACAACAAGAGGTGTCCAACCTTATAATAAAAATAAACACAAAGCCCCCTAAAAATACTAAGATTTTACAGATAAAAAAGGCTATAAAAAAGATGACAACTGCAGGATAACATCAAATAAGGTTTAGTTTAGAAGCAGATTGAAAATAAATACAAGGTATAAAAGAGATGACAACTGTACGATAACATCAACATCTACTGTCTGAACCATCGTAAATTTTAAACGCATTTCTTTGATTATGAACAAACTACTTAACTTTCGTTATTATAAACTTACCTGTGTGTTTGAAATGAACTCCCGTTCAATAAAATCCATTGCACAACTAAATATTTCAACGTATTAAAAAGTTCTCTCTTGACAAATTTGTCTATTTACTTGTATTTTCGACTGAGTAGAAGATAACAATGCTTACGTCACGTGTTGGACGACCCCATTGCAGCTGTTGCGGGGGTGGTTTTATTTTGACAGATAGTTTGATAACCACGTGTTGCAATGAAACCAAAGCGCGATCATTACGATCGTTTGAGTTTGGGCGACGGAAAAAATATCAACTGAAGATTTATATTGAATCCATCGACCGTATATAGTCCCCGTTGGTTGGATTCTCTGCCGTTCGCTCATACATGACGAGATCTCAATGTCAACGGCAAATCAAGCGATGTAATATTTGACATAGCGGGATTTTACACAGATTAATTTCTCGAACTTACAGTAGTCTTATAGTTACATGGTAATTTTTCAACCCAATTATAAGTATTCCTAATCCTATCCGGTAATGACGAATTTCTCCAGTTTAGAACTTTCCAAATGCAGCAGTTGCAAATTGTGGAATGATCGATTTCAATATTTTCGTAGTTTTTGTAAGCATTTTGGTTTTGCTAAATACTCCAAATTCCCGCATGTACGAAGGATTTTAAAATTATGAAAATACAGTTCAGGTATAATACTGTCCGGAATGATGATTAGTTATGCAGAAGTAAAAAATAAAAGAATGTTTTAGTAGGTTTGTTTTAACGAAAACTCAACATGTTTTTTTACGAATTCACATGGTCGCGTACGGAGTAAACAAAGGCGATGTGTTGATACATTTACTACATTTATATTTGTCTATCTATGTATGGGTTGCAAAAGAGTAGCAAGATAAATAAAAAATATTATGAATTGATTTATGTGTTTTAAATTTAATACTGGTAATTGCGCGAGGGGAGGAGGTAATTTTATTTTAGTCACAGTCTATTTTTTGTTGTGGCACACAATTCTAAAGGCTTCGTGGACGTTTCCTGTCCATCTATATACACGGTCCATGTTGAAACCATTGATCGCAAGTCTATCAAATTTTATTCACAATGAAAATATCACTGATACTCATATATAAACTAAAAATATGTTATTAATTTATCATATTAAAGATAATCAAGTGTAATATTTAAGGCCCGTAAAACAATTGTAATAATTTCAAAAGGTAAAGTTATAAAATTTGCAGAGATTTTACTAGAATGTAAAAGACGGCAACAAAATAAAAGAATACGGACAGTTATGTGTGTGAACGCCCAAACTCAATGTTGAGCCGAGATTTGTAGTTTTTTCTTAAACCAAACTTGAATTGTCGTAAAAGTGCCGATTTGCTATGCTGTCACCCCTTATACGAAATGATATCTCCCGGAGAGTGATATAACTAGCTTCTATATTGGTATTTTTCTGTGTCAAAGTTTGTGGGAATTCAATTTTTCAAGAGAGAATTTTTTTATTCGTTCGGATAATTAGTTGTGCAGTTGATTTTATTTACCGGGAGTTGATTTCAAACACACAGGTAAGTTGATAATAACCAAAGTTAAGTAGTTTGTTCATAATCGAAGAAATCCGTTTTGAATTTACGATGGTTCAGACAGTAGTTAGAAGCAAATTGCAGATAAATACCAGAAAGATGATTACTGAATTTCAAATACTTTAATCAAAATAGGTTTATAATAACAACTCATCCTGAAGCTATGAAATTAGAGAAAATACAAGTGTTCAAGTAAGACTTTTCAAGTTCCCTCATAGACCCATCACAAAGTTTTATAAAAAATATATTATTAATTCTGTTACAATCCTTAAATGTAAGATTGTGAATGGAAAGCCCACTCCCCTAAATTTTTCTTCCTTCTGCTTTCAAGTTCATGAATTTAATCTGAAAGTAAATGGGGGCATAATGCTAAGATATACATTTGGCATAAATCCACCAAGGTTTGAAACAGATTTCAAGAATTTTTTTTCCTGTATTTCGTTCGCAAGCTTAGCAATCAAATTGTGAATGTAAAGTTAAGTCTGCAAAATGCATTAAAAATTAAGTTGCACACCTGAGAACAATCTTAGCATGATTTTAAAAATTCTCTTGAGAACTTTGTGTCTTATATAGTGTTCAGAAGATTTCAGAAATTTAGAGTAAATGGGGGAATAATCCTGAGATAAAAAAAAATGTTTTTTAAATTTTTCAACATAACCCCTGTGTACTTTAAAGTAAAATATGACCTGAAAGATAACTCTACAAAAGACATGAAATGAAATGGAGCTTAATATCCTAGTGTTGGTATTAATGTGCTGTGCCACACTATAGGCTAACATGCAATTAAATGTGCTACAACACAAAATACAGCCCTTCACGATACACTAACGTTTATTTTACCTATTAAACATAGTGTAAAATGTGGCTACTTCATACACCCGCATTCTAGGCATTTTTAGAATATCAGCAACTTTATGCATTACAGCAAGTGGAGTCCAACCTTTTGATGAAAACAAATATTGCAGTATATTTAACCAAACAATTTCCCTTGAAGATGTGCAAAAAAATTGACCCATCATATCTCCGAAATGAAATGGGGTTTAATGTTCTACTGTTCTGCTCTGAACTGGGCTAATGAAGAAGGGCATAGCCATACAGTGTGCTATGAGGGAAATTTTGCCCGGACAGCAGTACTATGGCCTACTCCTATATCGAATTCCAACTGTCAAGGGATCTTTTACGTTTTTTTTTCGTACCATCCAAATGACTAGACAGCTGTCCTTGTCAGGCCCTCCATCCTGCATTACTGATAGAGGGAACCACACCGGAAAATTTTGATGAACTTTCTTGGCCAATGCAGGGATCGAACACCCGACCTCCAGGCTAGCAAGCCAGTGTCTTACCCATTTAGTCACCATGACCCCCCAAGCCCATCATATCTCCCTGGTGTTTATTTTAACATTTATAAATATTTGTTAGGTATTAAAGAACATGATAAACATTGCAAATTTTACTCATAGATTGCTTTATTTGGCAAGTAAGACACTTGTACCAAATTGGGAAGATTTTTTATTTGGTATATGAAAAATTTAGCCTGTTCATGAGTTTTCATTAAACTCACCATGTTGTCTTTGAGCTAGATCTAATAATGGGATTACAGCTGCTTGTTTGTGACCATCTGGGTAATTAGCTATAATAGCATCAGCTCTCTACAAAAGACAAACATAATAAATGTACAAATTTTATTGAAAACATTTAGAATTGTAGTTAATACAATGAACAAAATTTAAAATGTACATCGATTTGATTGAAATACACAAGTGTTAGTGAACACTGTTATAAATTCTGTCATTATCAGCCCACAAAAGTAGACCTTTAAACTTAAACACCATTTCAGTTCAGTTATAAATTAGAGGTACAGAGCAGAAATAAATTTGACCTATTAGTATGATTAATAGAACCTATCGATTTGTTAAGAATTAAAAGTACGGTATGAATAATGGCAGCTAGTTGAGAATATATAACCGGTATTTAGGACAAACTTTTGAAATAAATATACAACCCTTCTGAATGGTGAACAAATGAACAAATGGTCTGATCTCTAATCTTTTCATGAAGTATGAATATGCCCTCAGCTTCCCCCAATAAGTATACTGACCTTTCGGTTTTCTGGAGTAAATTCAAATTTTACATCAGGGTTATTAATTGGTGTATCTCTGTGCTACAAAATTTAATAAAAACACTTTAAAAATCAAAGATATTTCATTTCACATACATAAAAGCAAATTATATAAAATAGACAGATTTGTATTGATACCATTTTATTTATTCCAAATCTCATAATGTCTTTCTGTAGTAGAGTACATGTATGGCGGCTGAGTAGTTGAATGGTCAAACAGCCCTTTATATCATAAGGTTTATCAATGAGTCAAGTGGCATGTTTTGATTCCACACTTGTTTGTGACAAAAAGTTGGGCTGACTGCCTACCCCCATGGGTTTTCTCCTGGTCCTCCAGAGTTTCCTCCCATTGCTTAAGTCACTCATGCACAAGGTAATTCTTGAAATAAAATTATGTTAATTGGCGATTAATCCTGAAATGACCTAGTTTGTGTTGAATGGACATTAAACACATATCTCTGTAGAATTAAGCCATATTAACCCTTCCTGAGCTAACCACTTTACACCCATACAGGGCTATGCAAATATTGAGTAAAAATCAAGCTTTAGGCCCTGTTGTGAAAAATCATTCATACCTTGAATATGAATGCGACTACAACTGTAAAATTGCAAATGTATATATCCATTATATATGACTTGGGATTTTTGCATATTTTTAGTTTAGATTTTATGGTTACCAGTGGGTTTCAAAATGGCTGCTATATTATTGCCATACATGAAATATTGGATAATTTTTTGTCATTAAAAAATTCAAGATGGTCAGGAATAAAGCTTTATGGATTATTACCATGATAGATATCTCTGTTGTAAGAATAGTATAGGTTTTTGGGGTAAAGTCACTAAATTGTGATAATAATGGGTTTTTTCTAAAAATAATAAAATGTAAACGAGCAGTATTGACAATTTTGTGGTAGACAATACAACTATAAAATCATCAGTAACAAGTTTTTATTAACAATAAAATAAAAATAAATTAAATATTTGGAAAATAACAATAATATATACCGAAATATTCGCATTAGTGTTGCCATGGTAACCAATTTGACCATATCGTATACGTTTATATCGGCAGCGATCTACGTGCGCGACTGTATAAAAGCAGACGAATAATTTCCTCCGGAGAAGTCTTCCTTTTTTTTGTGTCTTTACTTTGTGACAAACCTCTGAATTTTCATCAAAAGAAGAGTCCCCACTAATAGTATAGTCACTACCCGAATCCAATATAGACGTGACGTCATCGGCATCGGGACTCACGGCTAAATTCAGCTGAAGTCTTTTTGTTGTGAAGGACGCAATTCCTCGGCTGTTCTGACTATTGATAGTTGTTCCGTCAATAGACGAAACCCCCTCGTAATAAAAACTCGTGTTATACACCATCTAAGGTTAAAACCATGCTTTTACAGGGGAGTAAACCAAATTAAATAAACTTCCCGACTATCGTCGGGTGCCGCTCTGACAGACTATAAAATTATCCCGACAATCGGGATTAGCTCAGGAAGGGTTAATATGCTAGTAAAATATACATAAAACATATCTACCTACCACAAACATGTGGTCACTACATACTGCTGATGTATTATGCAAACTTCGAAACTGCTGTTTCTGTAAAAGAGTTACAATTATGATTTCCAATGTTACAACTTATTTTATAATTTAAAAAACTCAATAATGATGTATAGACATGACATGATGATGTTTTCAAGCAGAACTATGTGATTTGTTTCAACAATTTAGAGTGTTGGTTTTAGAAATGACCTATTCTTGCATTTAACAAAGTACGGCACCGATACTAGAATTAACAAAGATGACCAGGTTTAAAAAGTGCATCCTTCTCTAGGCCTGATAGATCTATAGGTTATATACATAGCCTAATAGTAATAGTTAGTTCAGTACCGGTAACAGTAGTAGTACTGCCTAGGCCTATATGTAAGAATGTCAATGACACTTGTCGGGGTTTTTACGACATGATTCCAACTATGTCTATAGTTAAATGACAATATACAATGACATGTCCTGAAATAGAACTGCAATCTGTGTATATATTAAGCACTCACAGCAGTCGAAATTATATTTCTGCAAACTGAGCTCAACATTTTTGTTTAACCTCGGTGACTTGCCACTTCCGGTATTAAATTAGGGTCTAAGGGAAACAACTACTTTTTAGCCCGTCATAAAATGAACTTAAAAAATTTTAAAACCAGATCTAAGATTATAAAACAGAAATTTTAACTTCCTTTAATTATAATTTGCGATAGAATAATCAATATACATTTTGCTTTTTTAATTTTGTTGACTGCGTTTCTATCATTTCCCTAGAAACATTATAAACAACATGGCGAATTAGAGACTTCCGGGTTAGATTTTTATACTAATAATATTGTTGAAAGAAACCACTTTATTTACTAAATTTGTTTTGTTATGTTTCTCTTCGACATATGAATAAAACTGAGAAAGAGGATATTTACGGATTATAAAATTCCAAGGAGACATGTGAAATAAAGCTCTTTTATGCATGCCTTATCAATCTATTTCTTTGCAGAACAGAACCAGAACTGTCAGAACTCGGAAACCCCACCAAAAAATCTATGTGATCGTTATTCATGGACAAGGACGTGATGTTGGGTGAATTCCACATGATCTATTAATGGTTATACCTTTTTATATCGTTGTTATTAAACTTGGTGTTATTTTTTAAGTTGGACACATTAGCCTAGTCGAAGACAGTTTAAACATTTCATAATCATAGGCATATCATATTATTATAAGCTTATGGAAAAAAGAAATATGAGAAAATAAGCTTAGTCTACTTACACATTTAAGTTAATGAAATAAAAATGGCAGGCCGTAATAAAAGTAAAGCACAACTGGCAGGAAAAGAACGCTCAGGATTTACAATATATGCCAAGTTGATACATACAGATGAAAAGTTTGCGCTGAAAAATATCTATGGTGAAATGAAGATATCTGAGTTGAAAGGACAGATTGAATTTGTAACTGGATTACCAGTGCATCTCCAGAGAGTATATTATTTAGATGAGGGTATGTCTGGTTTCATTTCTATAACTAAGATTTAAGCCATGAATTAGTAAACGTAAAATAAATCTACTTTACTTAATTAAAGTAGCTAACTCAATATCATCCAAAGTCGTACACGTTGAAAACGTGAATTATTTGTCAATTCAAATCAACATTGATGTTGTGATCTTACCGGGAAAAGGTAGGCTACTGATATCCAATATTTTAGACAAAATAAACATTTTACCATTGGTACACCAATTGTGTACCATAGTGCGTTTCAGCATCATTTGTAACAAGTGACCAAAAAGAAAGAGGCTAGACATATTCCACATCTCATGTCAAATGGTAACGCCATATCTAATCTGGAGAGCATGTGCAATAGACTGGAATAACCAGATTCCAGAAATTGCCATTCGATTGAGACTCATGCCGTATTTTATTGGACGTATCTGATTTGAAATTAGAGTCAAAACGGAAACAACTGAATGTAAATCAGTTTATATTCAATCAGATTACATTATTATATGCATTGCGACCCATTTGGGTCAATTTCTAGGACCCAAATATTAGGGATTTAGCTCCTTTAACGCTTACATTTTGCGGCCTTTTAGGCTTGATTGTTAGCCTACATGTACTTGGTAGAAGGGCTTACAGTATCATTAGTGGTCTTGTGTAGGCCTACCTTGCTATTTTTGTGAACTACAAGGCATCAAAGTTTAGCTGCCTATAATTTGTTAATAGACCAGATTTAATCAGTCACCACCAATCTTGTATAACTACTATAAGCTTTTAAATCATCAATATAGACATATATGCTGATTCCACATCAGTGACCATTTTAACAATATCTATGAATTGAGTTATATACTTTTATTTATCATTTTGCAGGTGACTTGGTGGATGGCAGCGACATCAAATCAAATGATATTGTGGCAGGTTCTAAATTACAATTAAGTGTATGGTCGCAATGGAGAGAATTAGTTGAAGCTGTTGTCAGTGGTGAAGCAGATTGGGTAAAACTAAATCATAATAACACAAGACAAATCAAATTTTCTCTAGCAAATAACCCAACCAGTGTAACCTTTAAAATAGATTTGTGTTCTATATATGAGAATAGATTAAATCCAAATTATATTCCAACCAAAGTGTCCTTTGAAATAAGTGTATGACAAAAAATCAATCCAAATTATAACCCAACCAGATTAAATTAAATTTGTGTTCTATATGACAGTAAATCAACCCAAATTATAATCCAACCAGAATAATCATTAAAATAAATTATGTTCTCTGTATATCATCAGATCAACAAAAAATTATATTAATAAATATATTGATTTTACAGGTATTCCGTTTGGGTGTTACATATCCAACAGATTATCAAACACCAAACAGTCAATACATGGCATCAAAAGCTCGTAAAGCATGGATAGAAGAAAGAGCTTTTGTGGCTCTTTGTATTGCAGCTAATCGTGGTCATGATGAATTGGTTCGAAAACTCATTGATTCTGGTAAGTTAATTTTTAAAAAATATGTTTTTAGGATTAAATGCGTAAATTATTATTGCCGATATGTGTTATACTTTCACTCAAATCAGGATCTTTTTTTTTTATTAATTCACATAGTAATATTCTAAAATAGAATTGGGAAAGAAACTAGGAATATGGGAAACTCCTCTTCTTTTGTATTTTTATTAATGCATGTCTGGCAATTTTTTTTTTAAAAGCCGTACATCTAGTATCACAATCTTTTATTGTCTTCTTGTTCATGTAATCACACTACAGTTTGAAATTTTAGAGATATTTTCAAAAAATTATTTTCTAGTCATACTCATAGACATAAATAGTTTATATCCCAGTAGCAACAGTGTAATTCAGCTTTTTAAATTTTAGTATTTTAGAAGAACAATTGTTAACCAAACACATTCAGTACTTAATAAATCTGTAATATTCACTGATGTAATTTCAGGTGCCAATGTAGACAGTAGAACTCCACTTGGTAGAACAGCATTACATCTAGCAGCTTCACGAGGGCGAGGACACATTATTGATCTTCTCCTAGAAAAAGGTAAGACTAACAGAGCTCTTTTGTGCCTCGATGAACTAATTTTTAAAAAAAATGTAAAAATGATGTATCATTATAAATATTTTGATTTACCTTGAGTTATTATTTTCTTTTGAATTCTGGTTCCAGTGTAGTAAATGCTTTCCTTTCTGGATTTAGGTGCCCAGATAGACGCAGAGGATGATACAGGCCAAAGTGCCCTTTCAATAGCTGATAAATTTGGAAACAAAGGTTGTGAGAGACATTTGTTTCTATTTCGCTGGCAGCAAAGAGCTAAGAAAGCCTCTGCCCCACGAAAAGTGCCTCGAATGGCACATCAATACAATGACTCTAAATTCCCAGTGTGGAAAGATGGGCGACAGGCTCAGATGTATCTTAGTAATATCTTACCTCCTGGAGAATTTGAAGGAACAGCATTAAGTGCTCCTCCAAGAAGGACCCATCCATCACTATCTCGGAAACAGAAAAGAGATGAAGAAATCAGAGCCTTGCAGGAAATGATAGAAAAGCAGGAAGCAGCCAAGCTTGAAAGCAGCTCAGATGGTAAGAAGTTAAATCATTTTTATATAGCATAATGCTTCAGTTTGACTGAGGTGTATGCATTTGATTTGGGTAGATGAAGGTTGCAGCTAATTTAAAGAGTTAGGCTATTTTATTGTGGTATATAGAGTTACCCCCTTCAGGTGTGTTATATGGTATTTTTAGATTTGAAATAGAATGTGATTATCCAAACATATTTTGTAAAAACTGTTGTTTTTTTTTTAGCAATAAATATGATCCCCCCCCCCCCGCCCCGACTGGATATAGTCTCCAATTGATGATTTATGTAAAAGTATATGTTTAAAAGATATTTTAGTTCATTATTATTTTGTTTTTAGGTCGTTTACCAGCTATACAAGAGACATCATCTAACCGAGATGTATCTGCAGAAGCTTTAGAGTAAGATATTATATTTAAATATGATTTCTAATTTTAAATATTATTTTTAAAATAAAATAGAACTGTCAGGTAGAATTAGAAAAATAACTAGAATTAGATAATAGATCATGTAATATGTATTATTAGTATTAAAAAGCTATCCATGTGATTGTGAATCCAATCCAGATCTGTAGAATTAAGATTGTAGCAATTTAAATATTATTTTTAAAATGAAATAGAACTATCAGGTAGAATTAGAAAAATAAATAGAATTAGATTTTAGATTAAAGGAGAATATTGGTGTCAGTCATAATTACATATGTGATAGAACTGGTTATATAAATACATTCCAAATATAATTTTAACACAGAGATCATTGCTACGGGAGATGTGTAACAAGCACGTGAAGAAACGGGAAGTGAAGCCAAACATGACAAACAGGAATTATCCTTCTATGTATCTGACTGATGGAACGAGCGATAACAGACAAACGATCGAATTTCATTTCACTGATAATTCCGTTGAAGTTGAAAAGTTATTATATGGGACAGTGAGAGGGTATCTCACAATTCAAAAATAGAATTGGCTGTCAGTAGATAAGGGAAAACGAGAAAAATAGAAAAATCCCGTGCATTCCCCCGTTTTTATTCATTCTGTTCATAATAAAAACATGGTAATGCACAGACTTTTTCTAATTTGTTCGTTATCTTTTATCTAATGATAGCCAATTCTTTTTTTGAATTGTCAGATATCCTCTCACCGTCTCATATAATAGCTTTTCATCTTCAACTGAATTATCAGTGAAATGAAATTTGATCGCGTGTCTGTTATCGCTCGTTGCTTCAATCAGTTATATAGTAGGATAACTCGTGTTTGTCATGTTTGTCGTCACTTCCTGTTTCTTCACGTATTTGTTACACATCTCCCGTAGCAATGATCTCTTTGTTAAAGTTATATTTGGGATGTATTTAACCAGTTCTATCCCATATTTTATAATGACTGACACCAATAGTGTCCTTTAAGCAATATGTATTATAAGTATTAAAAACTATCCATGTGAATCCAATCACAGGAATCTGACCTTCTATCCATATATATATATGCATATATGGATAGAAGGTCAGATTCCTGTGATCCAATCCAGATCTGTAGAATTCAGATTGTAGCAATTTTGGGGGTAAATGAATTGCTAAATATGCACATGCAAAGTTGTACATGTAGTTATTATCTTGCAACGAATGAAACTGCACTAAATGATTAATGTTTTTGTTAGCTGTTTCTTTCTTTTTATGTTTCAATTATTCTATATTTCAATTATTCTATCAGTGCCTTGGATCGTAAAAGCAGCTTAGTCGTTGGGTAAATGTATAAATTATGATATTTACATGTAATATTTATTTACACTTAACATAAGAAATCTAATTTGTTGTTTGTTTCACCCACTCTTATCCATTCACATCACCATAATCCTTAGTTTAAGCACATTAATAACCTTAATTGATAATTGTAAGCATGTTGTTGACTCAATGAAATTATTACTTCTATGAAGTATGAGCTAACGTTTAGTAGTGTATATTAAAAATGCCTTCCTGTGTACAAACTTTGTGATTTGATGATATATTTGAACTAAAAACATATTGAAACTAATTTATCTATCAAAAATTTGCATCAAATCTCTCTCAAAACTTTCCGCTTTGTTTATCACATAACTTGATTGAGGGAGAATCCATTTACCCTAAATATCGAAGCCAACTTTTTCTGCTGTTTAATCACAGAGTCTACTGAACGTTTTATTCTCTTAATGTTCTCACAACCATTAGCCATTATATGTACATCAACAAATAAGAAGTGCTCTGAGGAGACAGACTGCTTTTTAGGGTTACCCTCACATTTTTGTCTTGTGCACGTCCCATTGGTGTTTTTCAGGAAATCCAGTATTTTTCTAGTATGATTGGATGTCTTTAGTTTCTAAATATACAAAAATTGCCTTACTTTTATTGGAAATAACTGCCTGATAAAAACTTTTGTGGAAATGTATCTTCAGTGGTTTGAATATAATTTATAATCAGATATTAAGTAGCATGGGGAGGTTGGGGGGGGGGGGGGGTTGAATGGCCCTAGTGTTCTACTGCTCTTTATCATAAGGTTTGTTAATTTTACAAGTCATTTCTTTGAATTTGGGTTTGTATATGTGTATATGACAAGGAGTAAGGTTGTTTGTCCAACTGTTAGTGTCGAGTGGATGTTAAACCCCATTTCTCTCTTTTCCCTTAGCACAAAGTTTATTGTGTATGTTTTTTTTTTTGATTATACTCAATTTACTGATATCAGGTTTCATATGAACAAATTTCCCAACATTTATGCTTAATGATTTATAGTAACGTTTTGTTTGGGTAAAATATAATTTATAGGTGGAATACATTGTAGATATAATTTTAAAAAGAAATTGCCTTTGTTAAAGTCTCAAAATATCAACGATAGATAATCTTTCTCCTTGACTTCAATTTGATTAAAAGGAGGCCTGTCAAAAGATTCAGCAACACTATATTTTGTCTGCAATGGATGCAGAATGTTGACAAATGTTCAATTCACCATATCTTTGTAAATATTGAATAGAACTGAACCATGTTTGGGTTGTATTACTTTTTGAGATTCAGTTTTCATATTAGTGTAGTTTGCAAGGAAATACTGTAACGATCCCTCAGATGACGTTCAGAGACTTTAATAAGCTAAACAGAAACTCTTATATCGTTCGTATTTTGCAGAATTGAGATGCGAAAAGCCAAGTTACCAAAACAGTTTGATGAGTGGTTGAATAAAAAGACAGAAAAAGAAAAAGAAAAGTTACATGTAAAGAGAAAAGAAAGAGAGATTAAAAAAATGGAAGAGGAGGAGAGGTAATTAATTTTATTTTCGTAATGTAACTGGACAAGAGCCATTGCTAAAGATGCATTATGTAAGCTTTAGATAAATAGCTAACAATTGTTGCCATATTAGTTTAAAGACAGATAATCAAAAATGAATATATTGAAAATTTTAGTCCAATAACTTTATTCTGAGTAAAGTTATGGATGTTTGAAATTTTGACAAAAATAGCATAGTCTTGATTGTCATTGCTACAATATATTCAAACAAGGTCCATTTTTCTTTAGTAAACCAATTAAATGGTGCTGATGGTCTAATCCAATTAATATCCAAGCCATCCGAATAATCTGATAGTCTAGAAAGAGCTTGTAATGTGAAGAAATGTCTAAATAATGATTTTAAAAACATTTAAAGCCAGAAAGAGACGTGCAATAGGCAGATTTAGCTCTTAGATATACGCATCTTTAAACATACATTATGCAAAAGCTAAATCTGTCTATTGCAGGTCTTTCTTTATATAAGACCTTAACTTATATAAACTATTAATTAGAAATTTATTAACATGAAAAGACCATAATCAACTCTCGATGCCATCTTATGTGTCCGATTTTCATTCAGTTTGAATCTGATCTGCTGTTCATCGCACATTGATGATTAAACGCAAAAATGGATAAACGAGACTTTGTTTTTTATCATACCGACTATTAGTAATGGTGATCGAGGCTAGGTCTAAAATTCAATCGCTAATATCTTGGTTCAGAGTGGAGCAATTTGACTGAATTTTTCAGCATATTCACTTTAAATTATCTAGTTTTTAACTATTATAGTTAGAACTGCCAGCTCTTTAGCTAATCTTCCATAAAGCCCCTTTAAGAGTAGTTAAAGTAGTAAATAATCCAAGTCCGCTTTAGATCTTGACAGACAAAATGAAATTTATTTGTGACTGGATAGTAGATGGGCCAATGATGTGTGGAATAAAAAAACCTGTTACAGCATTACTAACGCTGGTCTGGTTCCACAAAAAAGGGTCTTCGAGAAACATTTCATTTTCATCCTCACCATTCCAAAACGTCCGCACAGACCTCCGTTTGTTTTTTTTTTGCATTGATATAATCAAAGATATTAAAATGAACATTTTTCATTACAGGAAAAAAGAAGAGTTTGAAAAGGGACAGTCATATGAAACATGGCTAAGTCAACGTGAAGACGAAAAGAGAAAAGCAGCACTTTCTGCTGGCAGTAAGCATACTGCAGAGGGTCGTATCATTCGCAGTAACAGTCAGGGAGCATTACGCGTATATCTACAGTCACTTGGCAAGAGTAAAAGTGGCTTTTCATATTATGATTGGTTGCTTGAAAAAGAAGCAGAACTGTATTCATCAGAGTCTAGTAAAATGGAGCTACCCGTTTTGAAGACTTGAACAATAAGACTTTTATATGAAATCTTTGCCTGTGATAATCAAATGAAAAAGTCTGTTGATACAAAATTCTTATCTGATGTGCATTTAATTCTTTTATTTTGTAACAATTTAATCATGCAGTTATTAGATTAAACAGCTATTATTTGTTTATATATTTATAGTACTTCAGAAGTAATGATTTAGTCATTTCTGTTAAAAATCAAATTTATCAGATATTTTAATATCTTGATTATATAAATTTAAAGAAAACTCCTCTCTAGCTTTATCTGTCAGACATAAACAGGGGCTTGTCATGCTCCTTAATATGCAAAACAAACTGCTACCTAGTCATTATAAATTACAAATATGAAGAAGCAAGTTTGAAAAAAATCCACTATCGGCATTATCCCAGACTTTAAAAGTAAATCTATGAATAGAAAGATAACGCTTTATGATCCAATAGGGTTCAACCGTATGTACGATCCCACACTTGAACATGACAACAGTGAGTAGGTTCGTCTGTCTGGTCTCATGAGGTTTTACTGAAATAAAACTGTCCCAAGATAACCTAGCTTGTGTTGAGTGGAGGTTAAACATCTATTCTCCCTCCCTTATTTTCCGACGAAATTTTAAAAATTTCACCAAAGACTTTCACAAGCTGTGTTGGAAAGTCCTTAGGAACTTTCTTGGATAACACCGGGAATGAACCTGAGACCTCCTGGTTAGCGAGCTAAGCTAATTACCCGACATTTTAATTCCTACATCGACGATTTTAATCGAAAACACTGAGTATGCTTTTAGTAATTTTTAGAAGTATTTATTTCTCTTCTATTGTCATATTGAATGAAATTAAATATGTTTATTTAGCCGCTGTGTGTATGAAAGATGTCAAACTAATCAAAGCCGAATCACAAAATAGTCCTCTAATTATTCAATATGGCGGCGCCCATAAAAGGTAATTTCATAGAGGCGGTTTTGTTTGCGAAAACAAATTTAGGAGTATCTAACCTTGTTTTGAAAGATAAACAGATTGAAACTCTAAACACAGTTTACAATGGCAAAGAATGTATTGCAATATCACCCACTAGCACATATTATATATCGCTTTTACCGGATTGGCAGAAGTTGACATTTTGCTAAAGACATGTGTTTACATAAAACGTGTGTGATCAGGTTATACTCTGTTGTGTACACAAAGCTGTAGTCCAGTCGATAAGTCCCGCCCCAAAATGATCGTGTGAGCGTTTTAAATGGCATCTAACTGGGGCAGTGATCATAATGAGGTATAACGTAGATGGATCGCTGCGTGCAGTTTGACTTACTGAGCTACAACGGCTCCCCTAAATTTGATGATACTGACTGTTTTAGTATTTGCATGATTCATGTAAAATAGATGCCTGACATAAACTCTCACTTCTCACAGGCGGACCGGGGTGACGACAATATATTTCCATATAAATGGTAGAAATGAAATGGTGTTTAAAATGGTAAATATATAATAAAACTCCTCTACATGCAATAATATCTAACGTCTTGCTAATCTTTAGGGAAAATATAACAAACAATAATTTTTGTATTAAGTAATTTATGTCATATCAAAACTATCTGTAGCCCTAAACAACCAATAGGTTTGATCAGGAAATATGATATAGGAATAGAAGTTTTCACCTCCTTGACAGTAACCATGTTCTAGACTACCACCAGATACTGGACTATCACAGAAACCATAAACAGTTAAACATATCCATGGACAGTCTGGATAATCTGTAATACTTGTTCTAAAATCAAAACACAAATATGCATCAATTTAAATTATGGATTTATAATTCGTTAAATTTGTGTCACTGTCACATATGCATTTTATCTTAGAAAATGACTGATAAATTAATCATTGAAGTTGGTAAACACCACAGTATTAATTTTAAGAAAAAAGATGTCTGAAAATGACTGAAAAAAAAGAGAAAGTAAGACTTCATAGAAACCAAAAACAGCAAATTTCTTGCATTTAAGCTAAATTTGGACTTTTGGTATGAGCGAAATAAAAATTTGGTATTAAAAATTTGGTTATCTTCCAAGACCAATATTTGGAAAACTTAAAATCATTAAAAACAAATTACTGGTCTGCGAACTGTATCACATTTAGCCAAGGCTGGTCATAAAATTCACTGAGCCACTGCGACTCCCAAAAGCCTCCAGTAACTACTACATAAACAGTTATCTCTTCTCTCAGATTCAGTCATATCATTGGCTAGAACTATTAAAGATACATTCCCGCATACAAACTGGGTGATTTAATGGTATATATAGACTAAAAACATATTCAAACTAATTAATTTATAATAATTTAGCTTCAAATCCTTCTCAAACATTGATATTGCCAAGGAATGCCTTGCTATAAAAGTGACTTGCCTTTCCTGGAAGTCAGAGGAGAATTCATTGCATACATAAGACGATGTTGTCTTTAATCGCTTACTATTTATTACAAATATCGAATCCTAATTAAATTCTCGGATTATCCACTACCCGCGTCTTTTTCCGTCATTTATATCTCAGAAAGTGTTGACATCATGTGTGCAGAAATTCCTAATTGTCGGGCTGTCGATTAGGAGAACCCTTACATTTTTGTCCTGTATACGCTCCATGAGTGTTTTTTGGGGAATCCAGTATTTTTCTAGTAAGATTGGATATCTCTACTTTCCATATATACCAAAATTGCCATAATTTTATTGGAAATAACCACCCGATAAATACTTTTCGGGGAACCCATCTTTAATACCAAATCATTATCACTCACCTAATGAGATTTAAAGAATGTATAATATCAGACGATGTAAAAAATCCTTTTAATTGATAATAACAGCCGACTGTAGAAATATGATGTGGTGTTGGACAAGATAGCGTTGATAAATAACTCTCTGATGACGTACTGTCACTTAAAATAGATAAAAAAAGAATACAACAAATAAACAAAGATTGCAAATAATGGTTTTAATTATACCTTACAAAATGACAGACACTACAGAACTATAACATGACATTTTGAACTTTGTGCCAGATACCAATAAAAACACAGAAAAAGACAAATCAGTGCCAGATAAAGTGACAGGAACCAGAGGGACTGTATCTGATAGAGTCTGAATTTGTATGAGACAATTTCTGTGACAGGTGCCATATTTCCAGAGCTATATCCCTATTCTTTGGCACCTAGAAATGGACACAAATCGGTCACAGTGAATATAATAATATAAAATGAATGTATATAAACTGATTTACATTCAATTGTTGATGTAATTTCTAATCAGTTATGTTTGCCGAAATACGCGAAGAGTCCAAATTGAATGGTAGTCTTTGGCATCTGGTTATTCCAGTCTACACTGGTAGTATTCTCCTGTAGGGTATGTTTAGCCCCGTTCATCGAGTCGTTTCATTACAAATGGCGCTCAAAAGCATTCTGGTACGAGATTCGTGTGCCAATTTTAAAATTTTCATTGTGTCTTAAATATTGGTTATCACAAGCCCATGTTTCCATCCATGGTAAGATAACATCAATGTTGATTTAAATTGACCAATAAGTCATGTCTGCAATGTTGAAGACTGTGAATAATATTGCCTCCTTTAATAACATGAACTTGCATGTACTTCAGGTAATTCGCAAGTAATATACAATTACTTCTTTAGTTCTGTATTTTGAAAGAGTTAGTCATTATTACTAGCCAAAAAATCTACCAAACCATAGTACCATAGAAATTTACAAGATTCAAGTTACAGGGACAATAAAAAAGAGCAAGAGTTTTTCTAATGACTTCTAACATGCATAATATAATCACTGGTACTTACAGATTGACATCACAAGCAACACAACCAAGCCACTCAAACACATCTTGATAATCAGCGCTACTTTCTGTAGGTTCAAACTGCTGGGATGTTATTACTGGATGTTGGAAGTTTTCTATTAAACGATAACATTTATCAACAGGAACTAAAGTGCTGCAGAATTTTCTTTTCTCAAAATATATTTTTATGGAGCTTGGACAAATTTGATCATCTGAAAGTATAAATATGAGGATTATAAATATATATTAATAAAGTTTCTTAATACAAACTTTGTTTTAAAAAAATAGACAATATTTTCAATATGGTAATTTTTATACAGAAACTTTCAACTGGATACAGGACCACCATCCTCGGTTTCCCCAGTGGTTTCATTCCGTTCTACTCCACTAACCCCTGGGTTAGTCTATGGGGGAGAAACGTTTTCAAGTTATCCGCCCTCGATGATTGTGCTATTTTTATCGACCAATCCCATAAATTGTTATTTGAAAAGGAAGTTGGCAAAGGGAAGTAACTATCATACGAGTTGGCCTATTCTATATGCGTAATTATTAACAACCAATTATATATTATTTTAATGAAGACCAGACGTTCATATAATAATGTAGGGTCATTAGTTATATTGAGAATTGTTCTTTCTTTCCTGGAATTTTATGTCCATCGTAGACAAATTATTGTGAATGTTGTTAGTTAATTGTATTTTACGTCCGCTTCCACCGAGGCGATATCGCAGACAAGATTATTGTGAAATAGCTTTATTTAACATACGCTTCCACCGAAGTGATTAATTGTGAATGAAATTGCCAAGTATAAGTTCAATAATAATGAAAATAACAGAATGACATATTTCAGACAAAGAACGAATAGTAATAATAAAAACAAACGTCAAACATATAGATGTTATACATATTTGAAATCAGCAACACATACAACAGATTTTGATAATACAATTAAATATAAATAAATTAGAAATATATACATTATTTACATAAATCATTGAGTAAATGGGCATTAATATGGTTATCTACCCTTATAAAAACGAAGGCGAAACGATTGGTTTGTAAACTGTTTTCTGATTGGTTCGTAGACTGTAGCTACAATCTAGGCCAGGGCAGATAATTTGAAATCATGGAAAGCCTATGGATTAACCAGGGTATAGTGGCATAGAACAGAATGAGACCACTGGGGAAACAGGATGCAGGACCACAGACTCTAGGATTTTCTTACCTTACTCGCTGAATATTTGGTGTATAGTTTCATTACATTTTGATTTACATTTTGATAAAGCAGAGGGATAAACAATTTGACAACTTGATGTGGGTGATTAATTGTAGTAGTAGCAGGTGGTTTAAATTTTGTTTTCACAGTAGTGATTTCACAGACAAATGCAAGTCATTAATGAGTGTTATCTCTATTTATATATAGGCTACTTACTAGGTGGAGACCAGTGTACCAATAGGTCAAAGGTTAGATCAGTTTGTTGGTGTAAACATGCCTTAACTCTTTCATAAAGTTTCTTTCCTGGTACAAAACTTGCTGCTTTTAAATCTATCTGTACAACTAAAATAAACAATTAAAAATTATTAAAGATACATTAGTTAAGAGTTTAATAAAGAGTTGGTCATTCTTGCTATAATAATTCAAAAATAGATGATAAAAAAAAAGAAAATATTGAAAATTTCATTCAAATTACTTCATTCTCAGCCAAGTTATCATTGTTTGTAGTTTTGAAGAGATGTGTGCACAGTGGTAACCAGTGCACTGGTATAATCGGGACTTAGCCTCACTTTCTCATTTTTAAATTAAATTTTTAAACTGTTTTAATCTAGTTAAAATTTCGAGTATCCGATGCCATTGAAAGTCGATGAAGGTCTCGTTTTGTTAATAAATGTCTAATTAATAGTTTATATAACATTTCAGGCCTAAAGAAAGACCTGTGATAGGCAGATTTAGCTCTGAATGTTTATACGGAAGTTGGTTCTGCAGACCTATAGACAAATAACCCTGATTTTATGGTTAGAAAAATGTACAGTATGTTCATTTGAGCATATGTACAATCAAAGCTTGCTTTTAATCTTTTTTCTACGAAAAGAAATAATTTATGTATTTGAGCAGTTTAAGAGATATAACGATTTATGATAATACATATAAGGAATACAAGTGTCCCCCCCCACCCCCAATGAAGAGACATGATCTTTAATCAAAAATTTACATCAAACCTATAATTTATAAATTATAGGTTTGAAGTCTCTGTAAAAATATGTTTGACCAATGTATAGACTTACCATATCTTATTGTTTTCTTCCTTAAACAATACTGTGACGGTTTACCCTCTAAACCTAATGAATCATATGTATCTTTTGTTAAATTTAACACCATTAAACCTGAATACAATCATTTACAATTGATTATCATATATTAATGAAATTTTTAATTACAATTTTATAATTTGCGTCCATTCATTGAAGTATATTTTTTTTTATTGCACTATTTATTTGGTAATCGTTTAGCATAAAAGATGGCTTATCAGATTAACCAAAATTGCATTTGTGATCAACCATACACGGATAAATAATATAATTATTGGGTTTAACGTCCTACTTTTATGCACCGACTGGGCTGATGAAGATGGGCATACGCCTAGGCCTACTCTTATTTCGAATTCTGTCAAAGGTTCTTCTACGTGCACACGCGCTTTTCTATCCCATCTGACCTACCAGACTCTGTGCCACTGACAAGGGGAAGCCGAAATATCAATGAACACAGGATATTCTAAAACATAGGAAGAATGAAGATATACAAGAATCTTAACACTACAAACATTTTTTGTGTTATACGTGACAATAAATGATAAACCCAGCATGTCCCGGGTTTGATCCTGGTGTTGGCCGAGAAAGTTCTTTGGATTGGTTAATGTGGTTTTTCTTTGTCAGTGGTGAAGAATAGAGAGCCAAATAAGGTATGACATCTAGTCATTTGGATGGTACAAAAAACTGTATGCCAATTTTCATTAGCCCAATAAGTGCAGAATAGTAGGATGTTAAATCCCATTTCATTTTATTCTGTCACAATGAATGAGTGCACACACATGTACATGTATGTGACTGGGTACATTCAAAACTTTGTGTCACAATCTATACATGCACGTAGGGGTTTTTATAAATTAGCAGTTGGAGGAAATCAGAGGACCCAGAGAAAACAGGCGACCCTACTCCTTGTCACGTACAACCGGGGAATCAAAACCACGCCAGTTGACTCAATGCAGACCTTATGATATAACGCGCGCACGCTAACCATTCAGCCATCCAACCGCCCTTTTTGAGTTAGTGTAAATTCTAAAAACATGCAACAATTTACCAGGAGGCAAATTAAGATCTAGATATTTTATGGTAATAAAAGTTACCTGAAGGTAATATAGCTAGACAGTTATCTGTATCTATATGGGTTTTATCAGACATGAGATTGAGATTACCTACAAAACATTGCAATTAAATATGATTATAGGTCAAAGGTCATTCATTCTTGTAATGTGAAAACTGAATAATAGTGTTCGATTGAACTTCAAATATTCATAACTTTGCTAAGAATATATTCATTTTTTGTTATCTATTTTTTAACTATTATAGTAAGAACAGACAGCTCTTTCTCTAATTCTTGCATAATGTATCTGTAGTAAGCAAATAAAGGTGAAGAAATATGATGTCAGAAAACAATATCTTTATATTACCATTTCTAACAAAGCCACCAAGAAACTCCTCTTCGACCAATAAAGATACTGGAACATTTTTTATGTTATAGGATTCTGTTTCAACTAACTTTTTAATCCAGTTGACAGCCGGTTTTGCTACAGCAGGTAGTATCAATGACACCTGTATAAATATGTGAACAAATCAAATACGTTATATTTATAGTATGTTTCCATTTGTTAACAGCTTTAACACCTTGACCGCACAAAGAACCCAAACCATTTCTCTTTATGATTTCTATTCAAACTGGTGCAAACTAGCAAAAGTGTGCAATTATCAATAACATTAAAACTAGCAAAAGTGTGCAATAACATTTCAAAAGTCTAGTTATTGCACGATTAAGCTCCACCCATTTCTTCCAATACGTACATGTAACATGACTAGAAAGTGAAACTAGCTTATGTCATCTTTCTTGCACATCAATCAGGGATCATTTTTCTCCTCAGATTTAGGCCATTATATTTTCTAGTGGATGCAAAGATGAATTTTATTTATTTTGTATAAAATATAATAATAATATATGTCAGTTTGTTATTTCAATTGGAACCCCTGACCTCTAGTTGGGCCCTCGGATCACGTCTCGCAGTCTTCCCCTGTCTGTCGATAAGTCATGATCAAGAGACTATTTTATTTAGAAAATATGAGTTCATACAGAACTGGGGAAAAGATAACGTTATGTTACCGTATAAATTATAGAGTGAATTAAAAAATTAGTGAAATATACCGAATAATTAAACTCTTGTTTTTTAACAACTTTTTCATGTGCCCTAAGGTCTATTTCAAAGCTTGACTGCTCAAAAATTAATTTTCCAGTAGAAGCAGGAAAATCTATGGAGGCTGACATCTTGAATTTATAAAAATTATGAACTGCCAAGTGCTATGAAAAGAAAATACGAAATAAGTCAAATTCTTAGTTTCACAAGTAAACGTTGGGAAAAAATAACTATCAGTATAGAATAAAAGATAGTATTCCATATAGTAAGAGAAATTATACAATTGTCAATTGATATGATTACTTTTATATAATGTTAATAATAATTATTCCAGTTTTTTTGATATAAATAAAATTTTAGATACCCAAGGGAAATAACTCGTACGTTCTTGCCAACAAAATAAACAATTTCGTCCACTACTTGCCACAAGTCACAGTTTATAACACTATAATATACTAGCCTATATAAATACATGTATTTTTTGTCGTAAAAGGTATTCGTATTGTCATGATGATATGAGTAAAATGGGTGAGTAAGAATTTCGAGCACATTATTTAGAGGAATTATAACTGAAACATAGTTAGCAGAGACATTCTGCATTGACTAGAGTAGAAAGTAGAAAAGAAGAGGGTAGTAGACACGGTAGCACGATTTATCCAAATCCACCCAAATCCACCATTATTTCAAATCATATAATAATAATTTATATCTATATTTGATAATATACTGTTTTTCATGCCAAATTAGCTTTTCTTTTTAAATCGTCACATTTTTGTTTCAAAAATGTCCATAAAAATGCAATTATTCCCCAGCAAGCGATTTCATGAAATACACAACTTCAAAACATGCTTAGAAATCACATTTTCAGGGGGATTTTTGGCACAAAAATGTTTGATTTTAAATTAAAAATGACAATTTAGCATAAAGAACGGTAGCCTATATTATCAAATACTGGTATCAATATAAATTATTGTGATATGGATGAGTTTGGTTACAACTTCCAAACTTGCTTGGAAATTGCATACTGAGGGACATTTGGACACAAAAACGGTAGGCGTATATTATCAAATATAGATATAAATTATTGTTTTATAATTTGAAATAATGGTGGATTTGGGTAGATTTGGGTAATCGTGCTATCAGACTAGAGAGGGTATTATTCGGGGAGAATGATTTTAAATTAAAATGCCAGTACGGTATATTATCAAATATAGATATAAATTATTATAATCATCCAATTTAAAAAGTTAATATGATTTATGGATTAGACATATGTACATGTAGGCTAGGCTTACCTAGCCCAGTGTAGCAACAAAATGGTTGCACAACTGCAGCAAAAGTTATGTATAAGTCACTTGTGCATGTGAATTGCCATTACCAATTCATACTCATACTGTACTCTAAGTCCTGTATTTTGTTTGGACGAACAGGAAACTCTTAATGTAAAATTTTACATAATATATTTTGGTTTATGTACAGAAATGAACACTAACAGAGTTGGAAGTAAAATAGATGATATAAAGATGATTATAAAATGGCAGACAAGGATGTGAAACATGTGGACATTACTCTGACAGAAGAAGAACTTAATACAAAGGTTAATAATAATATAAGCTGTGATGTAGAAGGTTGTAATAAAACATTTACTAGTGGTGGATCTTATTTACTACATAAAACTAAAACACATCCTGCTGAAGGACAGGTAAGCTGGGAAAATCACTTCAAAATAGTTCCTCATCACCACGGGAACAATCTTATAGGTGGAGGCCTGGAAATAATTAATTTAGTTATAATTGACAATATCAGGCACGAATGAACAAGAACCAAAACCTGATATTTTCAGCTCTGTGCCTGATGAAAATAGACAAATCTGTGCTAGACAAACTGACAGAAACCAGACAGATTATGTCTAACAATGTCTGCGACAGGTGCCTTATTAATTATTTCCAAGCTTGTTCAGCTGGATAAGCCTAACATAAAAATTTTGATAAACAACAATAAAATATCATTTGAAACATATTTTAGTCTTCTTTATATTTTCCTCAATATTTTTAAAATTCTAACCCATTATTAATTGCATGAAATTGATTTCATTACATAAATCCAATTCCAAATATATTTTTTTATCGATCTTTTAAATGTCTTTAAACAGTAAATTTTCATTTAAAATATTTTTTCAGATAGCATCCCTTCCAAAAAAAAAAAATTCTGATGTTGTCTATAGATATCATTGTCCAGTATCTAATTGTCTGTACAATCCACAATCAGAGAGATTTTTCAGTTCACAGAAATATCTCAAACAGGTAAGTACCGCTGGTACAGTAAAACCCAATTCAACCTTAGGCCAAAAAAAGAACTACATGTACGTGTGTTTACGGTTATTATCAATCTATTTGTAGCATTTCTAGCCTAATTAGAAAAAAATTAATACCATTTTGAACTGTTCTAAATACCAGAATTTCAATGTGTAAATTGTTAGGGTCAACAATTTTGGCTAAAAAACAAATAGGGTATGGTTTTTATATGCCCACATTGAAATGTGGTCGTATATTGTCGTGGCCCCCGTCCGTCCATCCGTCGTTCTGTCGGTTTGTCCGTCAGTCTGTGGACGCTCTAGAGGCTAAAGTTAATATCCGATTTACTTTAAATTTATACACAGTGTTTAAGGTCATGAGACGAAGAATCCTATTGATTTTCAGCGATTTCCGATAATTACTGCCAGAGTTATGGTCCTTGATCACTTCAAAAAATCTTGTGGACACACTAGAGGCTAAAGTTAATATCTGATTGACTTTAAATTTATACACAGTGGTTAAGGTCATGAGACGAAGAAGCCTATTGATTTTCAGCGTTTTCCGATTATTAATGCCAGAGTTATGGCCCTTGATCACTTCAAAAAATCTTGTGGACGCTCTAGAGGCTAAAGTTAATATCCTATTGACTTTAAATTTATACACAGTGTTTAAGGTCATGAGACGTAGAAGCCTATTGATTTTCAACGATTTCCGATAATTACTGCCAAAGTTATGGCCCTTGATCACTTTGAAAAATCTTGTGTTGCTCTAGAGGCTAACGTTATCATCCGATTGACTTCAGATTCATACACAGAGTTTAAGATCTTGAAACGAACAAGTACATATATTGATTTTCAATGAATTTTTATGACTTGAACAGCTAAATCCATGATATTAAAAGTTTCGCATACTAAACGTTAGCATGGGGCAGAACTTAATAAAAAACAAACAAATTCTAATGGTTTTCTGATGATTACTTCATGAGTTGTTACTCTTAATCAGATATTAGTGTATTATAAATGTTTCATTACCGAAAAAAGGAAAAATATGCGACAACACCTGTTGACTGCCCGGACGATTTAGCTGCTGTGGGCGTATGTTTCATTGCCTGGCAACCTATCTTTTGTTGGATTGAATGGCAAGATTGACTTTGGTAAGAGAGGCATTGCCTGCATTTTGCCACTGTCAGGACGAAATTCCCATCATAGAACATGTATGTCTGTCTTCAATAGCACGGGCGGTGCAGAAACGTAGGATGTTAAATGCCATTTTCGTTTCAGAGTGGCTTAATGGAAGTGGTCTCCCTTTAATCACAGAGCATTTTCTTATTTATTTACATGTATAAATCAGAAGAATTTTTTTTTGGTTTGATTTTAAAGCATTATGGGAAAGTTCACGGGGAGAAAAAGTACTTGTGTGGAACATGTCAAAAAGGGTTTGCCTTTGATAGAGATTTGAAACGTCATGGAGAAACATGTGGTGTTACTTTTAAATGTGTTACATGTGGGTGTCCTTTTACCAGTCCTGAAGCAGTCTTAACACATTGTAAAAGAAAGCAACATCAGGCACCGGATTCAGCCAGATCTTCTAAACGTGGATTAAAGAAATTAGAAAAAGACAAAAAGTAAGGTTCTGATGTTTTAATAATAACTTTAAAGATTAAGATATAAGTGTCTGCTTCCAGGGCCCTTATTCATGAAAACTTAAACTAAGATACAATAGAAATTTTAAGAAATACTGCAATTTGATTGGCTGACCAGTAAAATCAATTTGCATATATCCAATGAAGTTGCAGTATTTCTTAAAATTTCGATTGGTCTGTTTTAACCCATTTTACAGCGTGGTTCCCCATGTCAGTGGTGCAGGACGGAGGGCCTGGCAAAGACAGCTGTCTAGTCATTTGTATGGGATAGAAAAACTGAGGTCCCATGTCCACATTGGCGTCCACGTAAAAGATCCCTTGGCAGTTAGAATTCAATATAAGAGTAGGTTATAGCGCCGCTGTCTGGGCAATATTTCCCTCATAGCACACTGTATGGCATATGCCCGTGTTCATTAGCTCAGTCAGAGCAGAACAGTAGGACGTTAAACCGCATTCCATTTCATTTCATTTTCTGATTTAATGCATGAGCACGCTGAACAGTTGCTTGGGGGCAAATACTATACAGATTTTGTTGGAAGTACCAATACAATAAATATGTGGTTCATTTTATCAACCATTTCCATTTGTATTTCTATGAGTGGTTGTGTAGGTAAGGGCTCCTGTGCACTGCTTTACCTGTAGGCCTATAATTCTGTTAAGATAGCTCTGCCTGCTTCACTTTCTATACAAAGTCCAAATGGAGTAAAATTGTGTAAAGATCAAAAAAGACTTGCACCTGCATGGCTAACACTGAAATTGTATCTGGTTATTTGGATGGTATTTAAAACAAAGATACATGAAGAAACCCTGTTCACTTATCAAAATTGTCCTGCAACTATAGAAAATAAATATCTTCATGTTAGGTTCAAAATAATGCATCACTCTTGTTAATGATTCCATTCCTGTATTTTGATGACAATCCTTAGCAATATACCTTGCTCCTTGATGCTTAGAGTATTGATAGAATTCATATTTTAAAATGTGATGTGATATAAAGTTAAAAATCTTTATTTTTTATTAAGGGTTCAGAGGATTGTTTGGGCGTGTAGTCTAACTCAGCATATCACTGCACACCCCTCGCTTGTACATGAGTAGGTTTACCATCTAACCCTGTAGGTTCTCTGTGAATTAGTGAAATAAATATATTCCCTATGTTAACCCTGAAATTTATTTATTGCTCACCCTCTCTTGTTTCCATAATAATTGATCATGGCATCTCTTGAACACCATATTTCATATTTTTGTTATTTTCAGATCTGCTGAAGTTAAAGCTGTTTCTCCTAATCCCTGTATAATAATCATTAATCAAACCAATAAACCTCTTACTGTACCAAACTCCATTCCCATATCCAAGTCAAATTTATCGGAATTACCCCTGATAATGCCCAAACATCAATTTTCTTCTTCTGTACTGGTACCGGGAAACTACAATAATAATATCAAATCACTGAATATTAAAAACTTTCCCCAAATATCTTCTGACAAAAACAAGGTTGATTTTTATTCCCATAATAAGATTTGCAATCCAGCTGGTAATACCTCACACGCGTCAACAACTATTAATTTGTGTTCTCCTTCCACCAGTGTTAGCCAACAAAATTCGTATTCCTTAGATCCCGGAATTTCAAAGATTATGCCCTCACAGCAAACTGTAGCAGGAATTCAGACTGACATATATGGAGTAGGAACTCTTTGTTTTGACTCTAATGATGCATATCCCAATTTTGGTGCCATTTCCTTTGCGTCCACAGGAACTCAGTCTGATGTTGCTAATGCTGCTGCAGAGACGTCAACTACTGGAATCCAGACCTCGGTTTCTTTTCTACCCAGCAAGAAAAAAGATTGTAGCATAGCAGGGACCCAAACTCCCAATGAGAACATATTGGATAAAGCACTCAAATCAGCCCAAATACCTACTCAGTCTCCGATATGTCAGAGTTTAAAAAGATCTAGAAAGACCAGTGAAGTCCAAACAAGTGGGGTGTTCTCTACGAAAAAGAAAAGACGAAAATCCAAAAATACTCTCCATGCTACAACTGGAACTGATGCATTGTTACCAAATCATTTCCAGATGACTCTTGATGATTTTTCTTCAAACTGGACCCAGACAAACCTTTCCACGTTTCAGCCGAGACAGGATTCAAATCTTCTTCAAAATATGGAAACCCAAACAGGTCGCCTCTCTCCACAACCATCTGTAATATCCATTGATCCTGTTTTATCAAGGAATGAATCATGTAGTTCATTTCTTTCAGAATTGGAATCTCGCCCTTGCAAGAACAAGATTCTTAAAGGCAATCTAGATCTTTTAGCAGATACAACTTTAACCAATTTTCTTCCCATGGAAGTCACTGATCTTGACATTGCTGTTTCAGATGATGATAATAGCAGGAATGGTCAAAGGCACTACTCACTGGGTGACCCTGCTCTAGCAGGAACGTTTTCTTCCTCCATTGATTCCGAATCTCAAACAGTGACATCTGCTTCGGATCTGGATCTATTGTTACATGCCGTAAATCAGCCAGTTGCCGTAACAGCCGCTCAAGGAACGGATACACAGACTCAGACAGCCGAGGATGAATTGTTGGATTTCTTGATGACAAACATGGAGACCCAAACAACCGAAGATTGTCTATTTCCTGGATTTGGTTTATCGGATATTGAGACCCAAACGTCACTTACTCCCGGAATTAGTGGAGTAAACTGTGTGGGATATAACCAATCTCAAATTGAGAGAGGCATTTCAATGTGTTCAACTAGTACAAGTCCGGATACATCATTTCTTTTAGATTCCCTGGTGACAACAGAAACACAAACTAACCCCCAGTCATATAATGATCCGGATTTCACCGTTTTAACTGACATGGAAACTCAAACGACTTTTAATACTCTTGACTTTTATACTAACTTGACCGATTCTCATACCCAGACCTCATTTTATTAGATACTTGAAGCATAAGTCCTATTTGGAAGAACAAGAACTAGAGGCGAATACTAGTGTCGGATTTGGCGGTTCCGCTTACTAAGCCCCTTCCAATGCATTCACCCCCACGACCAGATGAAGATGAAAGTGCATTTTAAACACAATCAAGCAAGGTCGATGGTGATGGCGGACGTTAACGTTTACAGTGCTTGTAAGAAAGACAGAAAGTATTATATACCTTTGAGGGCCCCTTTGCCTCATCCTGCCAAGCGTATGGGTAAATCGCCCGGCACTGATGAATACATTATTATTTTATAACTAGAATTCTAGATGTGAAAGCTAAATTATTTTGTGTCATGCAAGTTTTTTGTGTGGACAGATTAATTTGTCAAAATATGTAAGGTACCTATTCTAGTGAATGCTAATTGTAGGCCGCTTTATAACAATGAGTATTTTGGGGAATACTAACCCTAACCCTTTTAAGAGGGATAAAAGTAAATTAGCTCAGCCTTCTAAAAAGGGTTGGGGTTTATATTGGTTTGGCTTTCTTTTAAAAAAATTCTCCATGGGAAATCCATGGTTTGCACGTGCGGTTTTGGGCATGCTAATTGGGAAAGATTATTGAAATTTCAATTGTGTAGTTGCAAATAGGAGAGTAAACAATGTTGAGGACAGAATGGAAATAATAGGATATTCATATTCCATATGCCCCTCATGGGTATACCCATGAGGTCCTACTACACATCCGTCTTCATTAGCCCAGTCAGTACAGAACAGTAGGACATTAAACCCCATAATCATATTATTTGTCCGTGTATGGTTGATCACAAATGCAATTTTGGTTAATCTGATAAGCCATCTTTATGCTAAACGATTACTTTATAAATAGTGCAATAAAAAAACTGAAGGGGTGCAAATTATATCCGGTAATGAATAATTGTGCTTTCACCATTTTTCAGACTTATATTCCTACTCAAATATAAGTGACAACATAAACATTTTGCTTATTATAACATATTGTTGGTACAATGATTAAATAGAGTTCATTTTATTGCTTTGTTATACCTTTAATATGTAAAATTGCCATTGTTCAGCTCAAAGCTTGATTGCCGCTATGACTTTAATTTGTGATATAAACCTATGTAGTTGATGTATATTTATGAATTGTTTATTATGTTTCATGTAATATCGATATTAAATTATTAGAAAACTGTCATTTTATTTTATAACAAAAGTCCCATTCTAAAGATATTGTGGATATCATGAATAGGCAAGTGAGCAATTTACATAATCATCTCAAGAGAATAGGACCGGGAAGAATTTGGGATATGGGGTGAATTGAAGTGCAAGGGAATTGTTGGTGGAGAACGTAAGAAGGGGTGTAAATTACCCCTGTTTGGGCAAAAACATAGCCCCCCCCCATCCCCATATATTTTAGTAAATTCTATTCCAACTACAGACAATACTGTCTTTTTTCACCTTTGCACCGATAGGCGCAATGTGTTGCTGAATATAGCCTTTTCATTTTTATACACCCACATTGAATTGTGGTTGTGTCGAGTGGACGTTAAACCCGTTTCTCTCCCTGTCTTGTAATTTGAATAAATAAATAAAAACAACGTTTAACATGAAGGCTTGAAACTTTTTATCTCTGAATAAAAATGAAGGACGCCATCTTATTGGCGAGTCACCTACACCATGGTCATTTCGTCTATCCACATTTGAGCAGCGCTGATATCTGTTACAAGAAATTTGTCTCCGGGTGAACACGCGTCGAATGATGGTCTGTTGATGAGACCCTCCAATGCCCATCTGCCCTCTCCGTTCTTACAGACAACCATACCACCATTATCACTCTAAAAAAAATATATGCAAGAATATTTTAAACATGAAACTGGGGCCTTGAGCATGAATTTGTGGACGGAACCGTCGGCGATATAACTAAACAATATCATACCGTGGACTGGTCTTACGAGACTGCTGATTAAAAATTAGCTATATTTTCTCATATAAGCAGCATATTACTGGATATATAATGGGCCGACCTCTAGCAGGCGAATGATGACCGCACCGGTTTTAAGATCCACGGTCCTCTATTGAATCTGACCTACGTAATATGCAATGAAGGAATTACATCGTCAATTTTGAATTATGGGCGACCCACGTAACCCCCACGCAAAACTAACAACCACAAACTATATCACTCAGACGTAACTAAACTGCTTCTGCGCCGCCCTATCAGACATCCAGCAAACAAAATAATGTAAGCCTCTTACCATGCAAGTACTGCCATTTATTGCACTATCTTTGAATTTTGCGAATGTTGTTAGCGGTTTGATCATCTCAGGATCATCATCACTAAGCTCATTAACAAGATCCCATATTTCCGGTTTTATCAACTCAACTTCAGCGGTTAACAACTCGGTAGTTACTTCTAAAAACAAAATGATTGATATACATGTATTTACCTCACACCAACACTTTACTCCATTCAATTAATATAAACATATATTATTGTCGCCCTTTCTGAACTCTCTTTTGCAAAAGTTATAATTCAATACCTTTCTTTAAACTGAAGAACGCTCCCAATGACATTAATATATATACGCCATTAATATATATATATATGATTATTAACTTTTGAAATGTTATATACTGTTTACGTAACTGAGACGAGGTTTCGCTATCCAGAATAATTTTCTTCGTTGAATTTGCAGCATCATGTTCATACCTTTCATTAATTGCTTACATTAGGCGACATAAAAAAAAATAGTTGGTGATCGACCCGTCCGCCCAGAAAATTCTAGCTAACCAGAATTCTTTTTTTATTTTTTATTTTCAAAATATACTCTCTTACGATGTTTAAAACCAATGGTAAAAGTTCCAAAATGTAGCTAGGCTACAAAATTCCTAAGCGCAAGAGTTAATGAAGCGGATATAATTATTGAAACGTGTTATTATATAGATCAGTGGTTCCAATAGGCTACTCTTAGGACTGAATGACATAAACAAATTGCGACCTGTTGCAATGGCCTACATTTTCGTTAATCATTAATCGTTGTTTCAATCATTCTCTTGCGCGTAGGGGTCTTTAGCAGTGGTCGAAACCGGAGGACCCGGAGAAAACCCACGAGGTTGGACAGGCAACCCTACTCCTTGTCACGCACAACCGGGGATTCGAAACCACGCCAGCTGACTCAATGACAGGCCTAATGATACAGCGCACGCACTTGCTAACCATTTGACCATCCACCCCCCGCCTTATAATGGACACGAAAAGAAATGAAATGAAATGGGGTTTAACGTCCTACTGTTCTGATCCTATACTGGGCTAATGAAGACGGGCATACGCCATACAGTGTGCTATGAGGAAAATTTTGCCCGGGCAGCGGCACTATCGCCTACTCTTATATCGAATTCCAACTGCCAAGGGATCTTTTACGTGCATTCCAATGTATACACGGGACCTCGGTTTTTCGTATCATCCGAAGGACTAGACAGCTGTCCTTTTCAGGCCCTCCGTTCTGCACCACTGACAAGGGGAAACCACGTCGGAAAACACAGATGAACTTTCTCGGCCAATGCAGGGATCGAACACCCGACCTCCAGGCTAGCGATCCAGCGTCTTAACCACCTAGCCACCGTGGCTTCTATAATGGACACAAAAACCTGACACAGCCAAAATATATTATAACAAAGTCCAGTATATAACTTTTCTCGCTTTTGCCATCTTTTTTTATCCTATATATTATTAACATCACTGAGTCGAAGATGTAAAACACACTTGAAGGTCTATAATCAGTTGGCCATAAAGCCGGACACTTACCACCTGCCACACCTTCCGTGTGAACGCCCCATCCAGCTATAACGCAATCCTTCTTATTCCAACTTAACTCGTCCGGTTTACAAGCTTTACGAATACATCTTCCAAACTCCAGTGGTGATTCCAATTTCAAAATGGCTAAATTATTGGCTGAAAAATAAAACAATGGCTTCTACATTGAAAGAACATAACCTTCAGACTTAGCTGCCGGTAGAAATCCGTTGTGCAGATAACATAAAAAGGGGCTTTGACGTCTGCTTCCAATCGGACAAATAAATTGTGCCGCATCTTTTTATTTTTTCCGACGGCAAAATGAAATTAGTAAAGAATTTAGACTGTAAAGGAAAGGTTGGTTACGGTGAAATTTTATTTTCTTTAAATTAGATTATAAGGATAATAAATTCGTGTAAGGATGGCTAAATTGAAAAATAAACTAATAAAAAAAATAATGTAAATCTCATTACCTTCCTTATCATCGGTACCAACAAGGTCGAAAACTGTAAAGTTCGAGGCATCAGTCTTAAAAAATTCTGGATGAATAATGACTTTAGATACGCCCTTCCCGACTTCATTTGTTGTAAATGAATTTCCAACTTTAGTAAAATCGGCTGACTGTGTGTCGTATTCTCCAGCAATCACCAATATATTATCTTCAGCCGGTCCACCGGCAGCGGCAGTAGCTCTGTCAAGTAAAGAAATTTATCTTAAAGACACAATTTGTGATTTTAGGGCTATATTATCCCTTTAAAACTACTGTATTGCAAAAGAATATCCGTCCAAAATGGCTAATTTAAGTTCAGTATTTAAAGCGAGATGACGAATTGACAATTTCCATATGTAACGAGACGTTCGCTATTTTTATTTACTGTGAATTAAATTGATGGTCCCGTTTTAAAGCAGATTGAATCCAAGCCGGTAGATTCTCTAGCGTTGGTATTCTGATCTTACTATTTAAATATATTTAATTTTAAATGTTAGCGTGGATATAACGGTGCGAAATTTGATATTTTAAGAAAATTACAAATCAGACGTCGTTACTTTAAACGACAGCCTAGAGTTACATAGATGGGGATATCGCAGATAACAAATATTAAGAACTCGAGCATAGCAAAACAATGAAAGAAATTTATTTGGTTTGCATCATGTCGTTTAAAGGTCGCGTAGCTCTAATCTTTGGAACTTTAAAACAGATGAAAATGGGCCTAAAGCACATAATGTAATATGAATGTATACAGGATTTACATTCAATTTTTAAAATTAAATTGTAAAATTTCAAATCAAATATGTTCGGTAAAATAGGTGAACAATCCAAATTGAACGACAATCGTTAGTCCATTTTAAACATTTTTTAAAAACTGTTTTGTCGTTTGTGAATGAGCCTTTGTCTTGATCAATATGTTATTCTTTGTTCATTACAGATGTGACGCGAAACCATAGATTACACCAAGTCGAGTACTGATTATTTCAAAATGTTCACTGTGTCTTAAGATTGCTCGTTTGCAAAAAAAGATAATATTGAGTTAGAGGTTTAGCCAGTGATATGAAAGTCTAATTTTCTATAAATGCTGTTTACTGAATAACGGCCATAGACGATAGACTTTTAAATGAATAAAATGGGGTTGAAGGTCCCATTTCTCTGCGCCAACCGGGTTATTGAAGACGGCATATTGTGTGCTATGGGGGCGTGCTTTCCGGTATGGTTTCTCCTTGTCAGTGGTGCAGGACAGAGGTCCCGTGTACGCATTGGCTTGTAGTTAAAAGAACCCTTGACAGCTGGAATTCGATATAAGAGTAGACCATAATGCTGGTGTTCGAGAAAAATATTCTGCATAGCACACTGCATGACGTATTCCCGTCTTCATTAGCCCTGTCGGAGCAGAACAGTGGTACGTTAAACACCATTTTATTTCATTTCTTTAAAAATTGCTGCGATTGAGAGAACCCTCTTGAAATGGCCACTGAAACAACCACCAAAACTAAAATAGTTATTAACTTACAACATGACACAAGCAGCGGTTGTAACAACATGGTTTTCATCAATAATGACACCATTACAGAAGGGGACGCTGTTAGAACTTGAAGGATCGAGTTCAACATCTTCACCGGATCTTCCTCGAATGGATACTTGCCACGGCCAGTCACACTTTTTGCTTGGGGAGCCACCCAAAATCCTAAAAGAAACCGGTACATCTTCTGGCTGTACTCCACACTGTTGTTCAACAGGGGGAGCTGGTTCTGGGGTTGTAGTTGTTGGCACGGTGGTACTAGTAGATGTGGGAACAGTGGTAGGAGCAACAGTTGTTGTTGTTGTTGTTTGTTCTGAAAATATATTCAAATATGGATACAAGCAAAAACAAGCAAATCTTTTGTTGATGTTATTGTAAATAGTATAAACACGATGTATAAACTTCATTTTATAAAATTATAGATTTTATACAAGTTGTCACAAAGCACAGATTAAAAATACATTATGTAAGATTTTGATAAAGAGCTAGCCATTCTGTAATAGTTCGAAAATAGATAATGTAAACTCAGTAATTTGAAAACTTCATTCAAATTACTCTATTGCGAGCGAAGATATTAGCCTTTGAGTGTTTGACAAGACGTGTGCAATAATTTCAACCACCGTACTGGTTGTTCGAAGCTAAGTCTCGCTCCCCCATTTTTAAATTAAATCAAAATATAGTTGAACCTTTCTAATCTATTTAATATCGGAGAAATCCGATGCCATCGAGAGTTGATTATGGCCTGGATCAGTTAATTAATGTCTAATTAATAATTTAGAAAACATTTCAGGCCTAAAGAAAGACCTGCATTAGGTAGATTTAACTCTTGCATAATGTACATGTATGTTTAATGTTTATTTTCCGTATTTTCTTGGGAGTCGCGATGATTCAGGAAGTAAAACCAGGATGTCTCGGGTTCGTTCTTGATGTTGGTCTAGAAAGTTCCTCGGGATTTTCCGGTGTGTTTTCCTCATGTTAGGGTTGCAGAACGGAGGAGCAGTGTTTAGTCATTCTGATGGGACGAAAAGTCGACGTCCTGTGTATACTTTGGCGTACACGTAAAAGAACCCTTGACAGTTGGAACTCGAAATAGAAAGAAAGAGAAATGGGGTTTAACGTCCACTCGATACAAACTAGGTCATTTCGAGACTAACATATGGTTTAATTCTATTTCAATAATTCGCTTGCGCGTAGGGGTCTTTAGCAGCGGAGGAAACCAGAGAATCGAAACCACGCCAGTTGACTCAATGACAGACCTTATGATACAGCGCGCACGTGCTATCAATTCGGCCATCCAACCCCACTAATTCTAAATAAGAGCAGGCCATATAGAGCCGCTGTCCGGGCAAATTTCACTCACAGCACAGTGTGGCGTATGTCCGTCTTCGCGAGCCCAATCGGTGCAGAAAACTAGGACGTTAAACCCCCTTTCCTTTCCTTTCTTCATTTATGCCCCACCCCAACCCAACCTGCGTACCCAATAACCACCCGTCTTGTTTTTCGCTGGTACATGCTATGATTGGAGAACATACTAAACAGTTCATTAGATCGACCTACCTTCTTCAATACAGCATTTGGTTCCAGCAGGGTATGGTAAACATACGTAAGTGGATGAGAATTGTTCCCATTGGACACCAAATCCCTCACATGATGGTAAACACTTCGCATTTTTACCAGTGTTTAGATTCTCACAAACTGTAAACAAAAACAATCAACAAGACCAGCAGATTAATTTAAGGTTAAGAAATAATTTTCGTAATGTTTAGTAATAATTCATTCTTGGCGAAATTTGGATTTCTGTAGCCTTCTGATACAAAATTTACCAAATCTAGAATTTTTTTACAATTGACCTTATGTGTGTGTTTCGAGATTTGAAATAAATTCTCTGTGTGGTTGGTAGTACATTTGGATGATGGTTGGTTACAAAACTACAGTAATTACAATTACAGTAGCCGCATCAAGAAAAAACTGATAAGCGTGTCCTGTCCTTGGGTGAAGTGTGAAGTGATATTGGGTGTTCGAATGGCTTAACGCATGCGCTTTAGATCATAAGTTTCTTCATGGAGTAAAGTGGTGCGGTTTTGAACCTACAATTGTACGTGATAAAAAATAGGATTGCCAGTCTTACCTCGTAGGTATAACAAAGCATCTATGTATTTGCCAAATAATTAAAATGGAAAACATTTACAGAAGTTACGGCTTAAAGATGCAAATCACGGTAGGCCTTCTTGCAATTAATAGTATAACAAATTCGCACTAGTCCATTTATTTTCTCACAATGGTCACAAATAGTTTATGTAACTTTAAAACTATTTATTTTGTCGTAATTATTGTTTGTATTTCTTTAACAGCAATACGTTAGTATATAATATCAGGTCTTACACAACTTGAGTGACTTGATGTGTGCTAATTTATCTTTAGACTACACTGTGAAGAAGTTTACTTGTTTTCTCCGTGTTAAAAATGCAAATGAGAAGGAAACTAAAGGAATCCTAGTCATCTATTAGTATTAAAGCCACTGAGCATGATTTGACTGATATTATAAAAGTTGAATTTACAATAGGAATATCAATCCAAAAATGGTTCAATTCCATGCAGTATTTACAAAATATGATGAAACGAAATTCCATTGATCTGTGCTGTCCTATATGTAATTGGTGCACTGTACTTTTTTTCTATTTCTAGGCAGAATCTGTCTACAAAACAGGTCTAGCCTACATTTTATCCAAGTTGAACGTTCCGCCATTTTGCATTCTACGAGTGACTGATCACCAAACAAGTCATTCTGCACACAGAGATTCACCTACTTCATACTTCGAGAATAGATCTCTGCCCTAAATGGCCGCCATATCTAAAAAATAGCATACTTTTTGTAATTAGGTTCTACTCCCTCACATACACGCAATAAACATTTTTAATTGTATTAAATGGAAGCAGAATAAATCCTTAACCAAATTCTCGAAGTTTATTTTGTATTTTCGACTAAAATCGTCGATTTAGGACTTAAAATGTCGATTTAGGACTTAAAATGTCGGTCAACTAGCTAAGTGTCTGTTCTCAAGCGGAGCTAACTGTAGACAGACAGCCTAAGTTTAGTATGCAAACAAGTGTGTTTATTAAATCGTGAGAAATTTCTTATTTTCCGACAAAATGCAACAGAGGCATCGTTAATTTAACGCAGTGTGCGAATTATCCAGATAGTATTATTCTTTACTATAAATTCTACCACGACCTGAACATTTACTAATATAAACTTGTCGAAACGTCGTGCTATACTTATAAACCAGTGATTGTATTTCCATATAAACTGTGTTGTGTTTTTAATGTGTTCAATCGCTAAATGCCACTCAAGGATAATATAAACCCGTCTAAAAGATTATAGCTAAAGCAATGATCCTCAACCGTTCTTGTACCACCGCCACGTAGTTTACTCAGTGAGCGATCGGGGCTGCCAAAAGGGTATCAAAAGTAACAAAAGTAGGTTTATAGGGTCTACTATCAACTAATCACTCCACCAGAGAGCGAAATATAGAAAATTTTAAAAGAATGAATTAACAACAAATCAAATCAAAGAACGTGTTTTTTTTGTCATGATCACATAGAAAATACAAATAAACGATCTCTTGGAAGTTGGGTTTCTCTTTCGTTTGCATTACACACGTAGAGATGAGAACAAAAAATGCCTACGTATAGTGTCGATCAGAACGTAAATTCATATACATTCAATTACAGATTGTGATAGGTTTTTACAGATTTATGTTTTACATTAGAAAGGTTCCATACCTTATGTTATTTCTTTTACATATTTCTAAGAACATTTGTTTTCTTTACTGTGCAAGGGTTTTACATATTGCGACTTTTAACTATTGAGATTATCGTCTTCTTTATGTAGGGGAGCCACATAGTGGCTAGTCTGGAGGTCGCCGGACTGATCCCGGTGTTGGCCGAGAAAGTCCATTGGAATGTTCTGGCGTGGTTTCCCCTTGTTAATGGTGCAGTCGTTCGGATGGGACGAAAAACCAAGGTTCCATGTACACATTGGCGTGCACGTAAAAGATCCCTGGGCAGTTGGAATTCTATATAAGAATATCACACTGTATGGCGTATTCCTGTCTCTATTAGCCCAAAATAGTAGGACGTTAAACCCCATTTCATTTCATTTATTTTCTTCTTTAGGGCCTATGTAGGCTACATGGGATTACATGTTTACTATGACAGATGTGTGTGCGTATATATATGGTAGTCTAGTGAAAATACACCGTCTATATCAATAATGAACTGCATTCTCATTTCTATTCAAACCGAGAGAATGGTTTCTTCTACAAAGGTAATGTGTACTTAATTGTTCTTCAAAACTAAGAAAGTTTTCTTTACCTCAAATAGTATTGACATAAACCGTAACAAGAAACCTATATTTGAACCCGCGCCCACTTTTAAGTTAAAACTAATGAGAAATCCTCTTTATAACATAACTTATCACTTCCTATTTAGCAAATATTTGTTTTGCCATATTTATCTGTTTATCCTGTTATTGTTAAAATGAAATTTTATTTTTCTGCAACTGTCGCTTAATGGCGGGCTATGGGGGCGTTTTAGCCGGACAGTGTTTCCACCTAGTCTTCATCCAATTCTATCTTACAAGGGTCCATTTAAGTGCACGACAACGTCTACATGGGATCTCGGAATTTTGGCCCGAATTCTCAGACTGTCCCATGTTAGACTTTCCGCCCTGCAAGGGGAGACCACTCCAAACAATTCCGATTAACATTCTCAACAATCCCGGACTGAACGTTGTTATATTTCTATGGTTGTACCTCAGCCAAGCACCACTGACAAGAGGAGACCACACTGAAAAGCCCCAAGAAACTTTCTCAGTCAATGCCGGGACTGAACGTGGCACATCAGCCCCGCACCACCGAAATGGGGAGACCACACCACACTGAGTAGCCCCGAGGAACTCTCATTATCCATGGGATCGTTTATTTTTACGGGAAAATACCGTATTTTAATGACATGCAGAAATAGTCACTTGATCAAATTTATTTCCGTAATATGCATGGAGAAAATCTCGAGCAGAAATCGAAAGTCGAATGTCAAAAGTTGATTATTGAAAGTAGAAATTCTGTTGTTGAAAGTAGAATATTTACGACTTAAAGTTGAAAAGGTGCACGTATTAGGCCGAAAAGCACGAGCGGTATATGTTTCCCACACGAAAATGTCCATTTTGGATAAGAATTTTCTCTTTTGCTTTTTATTTTCTACTTTCTATTGCAGATCGCATTTTGAACCTGATACCCCGCCATATAATACAACACAGTTCTATAAATAATACGTATGCATTATCCATAGAACTGTGTTGTGTTATACGTTAGAAATAGTATAAAATGTTCTTTATTATCAGTAATACATGATTCAAGATATATTCCTATATAAAGTATCAGGTCTTACTAATCACCAATTTGTCAACCGTTCACTTATCCATAATTTTCGTCATTATTATATGCATTCATTTAAATTTTGGATATAATGTGTATATCCATATAATATATCTGACCTTGTCGTGCACCGTATGCAATATCATCGCCCATCGGCGCTATTGACAAATAAAAGCCCTTGTCGGTGATTAGTAGGACCGAAAATAGCTTCTAATGTTAAACATACATTATGCAAGAGCTAAATCTGCCTATTTCAGGCTTTTCTTTAGACCTGAAATGTTATCTAAATTATTAAAGATACATTATGTAAGATTTAGATAAAGAACTAGCCATTCTTGCTATAATAGTTCGAAAGTTGATGATGTAACATGAATAATTTCATTCAAATTACTCTATTGCAAGCGAAGATATTAGCCTTTGAAGGTTTGACAGACGTGTGCAATAATTTCAACCACCGTACTGGTTGATCGAAGCTAAGTCTCGGTTCTCCATATTTGATTAAATCAAAGTATCGCTGAACCATTTTAATCTATTTAATATCGGAGAAATCTGATGCCATCGAGAGTTGATTAAGGACCGGATCAGTTAATTAATGTCTAATTAATAATTTAGATAACATTTCAGGCCGAAAGAAAGACCTGCAATAGGCAGATTTAGCTCTTGCATAATGCAGGTTTAATTAGACATTAATTAACTTATCCAGGTCTTAACGCTCGATGCCATCGCTAACCTGCGATATTTAGCGGATTCGAATACATTTTGTTAAGGAAGATTAAACGTAAAAATGGATAATCGAAACTTTGTTTTTTTTATCATACCGACTTTAGTAATGATGATCGAGGCTTGCCTAAGATTCAAAAGCTAATATAACAATTCATAGTGGAGCAATTTGACTGAAATTGTCAGCATATTCTATATAATACGTTATCTATTTTTTAAGTATTATAGCGAGAACTGTGAACTCTTTATCTAATTTCCATAATGCCCCTTTAATTAGGAGGTCATTCACTATAACCTGTACCCGGAGTCATGATAGAATCACATTATGAAAATTATAATTTTAACTTTATAAAACTATTTACATATATTATACAATATTGCTACATCATTTCACCAGTTTGCTTATTGGTGTATAGTCGTAGCGTGGAAATTTCTATTCTGTTGTTTTGTTTCATTGTCTTTTTTTTAAAAGGGTAGTTATTCTAATCCCTATCAATAAAATAAACTTCGTGAATGGTCGGCTATTGCTTCTTCTATAATCAAATTTCTCGAGAAATTTGGCGATTTTACATCTAAATAAAATTGTCTGCGGTATAGCCTAACGTGCATTAGCTCGTGACATCCGTTAAAATCAACAAAATCTCGAAAACAACCGTTATCTTTCTTGAAATTATTTATTTAACATAAAAAAAAAAAAATTTTTGCAAGAAACTAGTTTTTAATACTTACAAGTGGCAGAAGATGTGCCGGCACAGAGTGCCAGGATTACTGCTAAAACCTTCATAATGCTAAGTATCACAACTTTACTGATCAACTGATGTGTGTCTGTGCACCCTTTGCCTTTTATACCTTCGGAAACCAGATGGTCCAACAAATCTAAGATTCTAGTTTATAAAGAAAGACAGCAACGCCTCAACAGTAAATATCCGGGTCAAGGCATAAGCCAGAACCTGAGTAAAATCAAGGTACCATGTACCTTTAAAACGGTGTATTGTGTTAATCAAATAGATGGCGGTCATATTGTTATCAAAGAAAACACTTCTCAACACGATCCTAAATAATAGGGCTTTATATCTGAACGTGGTCCGCTAAAATATTTTAATATCAGTCCCCGCAGAAAACGATATCGACATTTTTGTAGGTTTGTTCGCTACAATGTGTAATATTTACAGAGGTTTGGCCACTCCCTATGCCTTTTATTATTGTTATCCGCATAACGTGCTACGTTCTTCGTCCAACTAAAACATACAACTGGTTAAGTAAGCGGAGTGATAATATAAAAAAAAGGAAACGTGTTGCAGTTATGGATAGGTACTAGACATAAAGGGTTATTATTATATAAGAATATATAGGTTTTCGGGTTTCACAATATAAAGGATTTATATACGTCACGTTGAGCGAAGAGAACAGGGGTGGGCGCTAAGAAACTCAGATAGCAATTGGCGGAGTCTTAGAACGGTCTAACTATGGGCTTTGTTGGTGATTCTGTGCGGTCAAAAACCATCAGCGGGCGCATAAAAAGACCGGCAGCAGTCGGCTGCGATAGACTACGACTGGGGAAGACGCATATAGAAACACCGATTTGTTCCGTCACCATATCGGCCGCATACCGACAAGCGATTTTTCTGTCGGGCAAAAAGCCGCCTGTATAGTGGTCCGATAGGCATTCATCAACATGTGGCGAGTGGGCGCGGGTGCGTTTTTTGACGATTTGGACGAATTTCGCGGCCCATTGAGAGTGTTCCGGCCTTGGGTGAACCCATTTGAGGACTTTACGAATGATCATTTTTGTACGCCGCCCCTTTCCACCCGTTCACAATTTCTTTGTGGACAGACAGCTAGCCTACAGGTTACAATGTATATCCGATTTTGACGAAACGTGAATACAGATTAATCTCCTAAAGATCTCGGTTCCTTTCGATAATGGCATATATCAGACCGTAACTTTATGAGCCAACCACAATGTACTTTTGCTCTAAAAATAACAGAAAAACTGCCTTACCAGAAACAAAAACAAATCTACCAACGAACACCAACCATTTTTTTCTTATTTCGTGAAATGTTTTGCACAACACTGAAGAAACACCAAATAATATTTTGCATCATAAAGTCCAAAATATATCTAAAGCAGCAATAAAACTGTAGGTCTCTCCATCAAATAAGTATGTTTTCACTTCAAAAGGGGTATAGAATTCCATGTTGTTGACATAAACTCAAGGGACATAATGTCCACGAAAAAGAATATCACCATCCATACTTATGTCTCTTCAATTGATCATTTTAAATAACAAAAAAGATGGTGACCATTCCTGACTATTTTGAAATGAAAACATACCGGATGTGGGCGTGACATGCCTGTGCTTTTGTTACACCTAAGCGACTATTCGATCGCCTTTTTTGTTCTACAAATTGAAAACCAATATGGTGGTTGTTTAGGCCTTAATTTATTTTTATTTAATTATTTCTGTAGTTTTGTAATAGGAGTTCAGCTTAAATCTCGCCCATGCACAACTCAAATGTTATATAAATCATTAATTGGGCATGTGAATTGCCATTACCAATTCATACTCAAATGTTATATAAATCATTAATTGGGCATGTGAATTGCCATTACCAATTCACACTCATACTGTCTAAGTCGTGTATTTTGTTTGGACGAACAGGAAACTCTTAATGTAAAATTTTACATAATATATTTTGTTTTATGTACAGAAATAAAGACTAACAGAGTTGGAAGTAAAATAGATGATATAAAGATGATTATAAAATGGCAGACAAGGATGTGAAACATGTGGACATTACTCTAACAGAAGAAGAACTTAATACAAAGGTTAATAATAATATAAGCTGTGATGTAGAAGGTTGTAATAAAACATTTACTAGTGGTGGATCTTATTTACTACATAAAACTAAAACATTTCAAAAATTTCTTCTCAGACCTCCCTATATGCCTGTGTGGTACCACATTCCACAAGATTTTCGACTTAGAATAATTTTGATAGAGTGTTTTGGGTCTGTGGTGTTTTTCACCAGAAGAGTTCCACAAGACATAGGACTTAGAAAAAACATCCTTTTTTTCAAAAAATTCTTCTCAGACCTCCTTAAATGCCTGTGCGGTACCACATTCCACAAGATTTTGTCTGTATGTATGTTTATTTGAAAAAATAAAAATAAGACGGAAATAAAGTTAAGGAAGATGAAAGCAAAGCACATATGTTATACAAGATATCACCAAGGGAACAAACTTAGGGTGGAGGCCTGGAAATAATTAGTTTTGTTATAACTGACAATATCAGGCACGAATGAACTAGAACCCAAATCTGATATTTTCAGCTCTGTGCCTGATGAAAATAGACAAATCTGTGCTAGACAAACTGACAGAAACCAGACAGATTATGTTTAACAATGTCTGTGACAGGTGCCTTATTTCCAAGCTTGTTCGGCTGGATAAGCCTAACATAAAAATTTTGATAAACAACAATAAAATATCATTTGAACATATTTTAGTCTTCTTTATATTTTCCTCAATATTTTAAAATTCAAATCTATTATTAATTGCTTGAAATTGATTTCAGTATGTAAATCCGGTTCCAATATATATTTTTTTATCGACCTTTTAAATGTCTTTAAACAGTAAATTTTCATTAAAATATTTTTCCAGGTAGCATCCCTTCCAAAAGAGAAAAATTCTGATGTCGTCTATAGATATCATTGTCCAGTATCTAATTGTCTGTACAATCCACAATCAAAAAAAGAACTACATGTACGTGTGTTTACGGTTATTATCTATTTGTAGCATTTCTAGCCGAATTAGAAAAAAAATTAATACCATTTTGTACTGATCTAAATACCAGAATTTCAATGTGTAAATTGTTAGGGTCGACAATTTTGGCTAAAAAAAACAAAGAGGGTACGGTTTTTTGTGGGATTGAATGGCAACATTGACTTTGGTAAGAGAGGCGTTGCCTGCATTTTGCCACTGTCATGGAGAAATTCCCCACATAGAACACTGTATGGCGTAGCCTGTCTTCAATAGCACGGGCGGTGCAGAAATTAGGGATGTTAAATGGACTCAGACTAGTAATTATTTGCCCATTGACTTAATGTTAAATGGCTGTAACATCACAGGCTGTAGCTTTTTGCTCAACATTCCGTTGGTTCCAATCTTTATAGGCACAATGGGGACCACATTTGGCAATCTCCTCATCATAAACTTGCAGGGGGTTGACCGTTTAGATTTTTTGCTACGGGGATTTGAAGTTGACTGGGATGAAAATCTCACTTCCGATACAATGATTGCTCCGCAGAAAGACTATAAAATTGCAAATTTGATCCCTTTTCTCCTATTCTAGACCAAAAAGTCAACCCAAAAATGCAGGAAGAGGGGAGAAAAAAATTAAGGGAAAAATTGTCTATTTATAACTCGCACTACATTCGTAAAATAAGGGGAAATAATTACTAGTCTTAGTTCTATATACCTCACATGTTCTTGCTGTTTGAACAAATCTGTTATTATCTAATAAACAAACATATATGTAATGCCCTGGCCAAAGAGTATGAAAATCCATGCATTTTCAGATGAGCAGTGCAGCATTCTGCAAACACTATTATACATCAGAAAACTGTGGAATTTCAGACAGAAATTTAAAAGCACATGAATTTTGAATTCCACAGAACATTTTTATTTTTGAACATAAATGCATTCTGTAAAAAGATGAGATGAATTCAATATAAATCAAACACGAAAATACTTTAAAACAGTAATCATGATGCAATATTAGACTTTTTAACACTTTCATCGAAAACCACACAGTTACATGCCGAGGTCAGAGGAAAGGCCTGTGCAATACCAAATTTGCAGCCAGTTAGTGAGCAGAAGTGGGGATCAGGTTGAATGTATTGGTAAAGTGTATGAAATGCACATTTATCTCACCTGTTTTGCTTCTTTTTTTTAATACTTGTGTTCAGCTTTCTATCATTTCACTCTATATGAAACATTTCTCTGGCACCTGAAATGATAGAAAGCAGGGGATAAATATGCAATAATAATTACTAGTCTTAGTCCAAATGCCATTTTCATTTCAAGTGGCTTAATGGAAGTGGTTTCCCTTTAATCACAGAGAATTTACTTATTTATTTACATATATAAATCAGAATAATTTTTTATTGGTTTGATTTTAAAGCACTATGGGAAAGTTCATGGGGAGAAAAAGTACTTGTGTGGAACATGTCAAAAAGGGTTTGCCTTTGATAGAGATTTGAAACGTCATGGAGAGACATGTGGTGTTACTTTTAAATGTGTTACATGTGGATGTCCTTTTACCAGTCCAGAAGCAGTCTTACCACATTGTAAAAGAAAGCAACATCAGGCACCGGATTCAGCCAGATCTTCTAAACGTGGATTAAAGAAATTAGAAAAAGACAAAAAGTAAGATTCTGTTGATTTAATAATAACTTTAAATATAAGATATAAGTGTCTATCTCAACGCGGGGCGGGGGGGGGGGGGCGGGGTGGGGGTGGATGAATGGTTAGCACGCGTGCGCTGTATCATACGGTCTGTCATTGAGTCAACTGGCGGGGTTTCGATTCCCTGGTTGTACGTGACAAGGAGTAGGGTCGCCTGTCCAACCTCTTGGGTTTTCTCCGGGTCCTCCGGTTTCCTCCCACTGCTAAAGACCCCTACGCGTAAGCGAATTATTGAAATAAAAAAATTAAACCATATGTTAGTTCCGAAATGACCTAGTTTGTGTGGAGTGGACGTTAAACCCCATCTCTCTCTCTCTCTCTCTCTCTCTCTCTAAACGCATTTTACAGCGTGGTCCCCATGTCAGTGATGCAGGACGGAGGGCCTGGCAAGGACAGCTGTCTGGTCGTTTGGATGGGACGGAAAAACTGAGGTCCCGTGTACACATTGGCGTGCACGTAAAAGATCCCTTGGCAGTTGGAATATATTATAAGAGTAGGTTATAGCGCCACTGTCCGGGCAATATTTCCCTCATAGCTCACTATATGGCATATGCCGTGTTCATTAGCTCAGTCGGAGCAGAACAGTAAGACGTTAAACCGAATTTCATTTCATTTCATTTTCTGAATTAACGCATGAGCATGCTGAAAAGTTGGTTAGGGGCAAATACTATACAGATTTTGTTGGAAGTACCAATACAATAAATATATGGTTTATTTTATCAACCATTTCCATTTGTATTCCTATGAGTTGTTGTGTAGGTAAGGGCTCCTGTGCACTGCTTTACCTGTGGGCCTATAATTCTGTTAAGATGGCTAACACTGAAAATGTATCTGGTTATTTGGATGGTATGGAAACAAAGATACACGAAGAAATCCTGTTCACTTATCAAAATTGTCCCACAACTATAGAAAATAAATATCTTCATGTTAGCTTCAAAATAATGCATCACTTGTGTTAATGATTCCATTCCTGTATTTTGATGACAAACCTTAGCAATATACCTTGCTCCTTGATGCTTAGAGTATTGATGGAATTTATATTTTAAAATGTGATGTGATATAAAGTTAAAAATCTTTATTTTTTAAGTAAGTGTTCAGGGAATTGTTTGGGCGAGTGGTCTAACTCAGCATACCACTGCACTCCCCTCGCGTGTACATGAGTAGGTTTGCCATCTAACCTTACCGAGGATGAATTGTTGGATTTCTTGATGACAAACATGGAGACGCAAACAACCGAAGATTGTCTGTTTCCTGGATTTGGTTTATCGGATATTGAGACCCAAACGTCACCTGCTCCCGGAATTGGTGGACCAACTGTGTGGGATATAACCATGCTCAAATTGAGAGAGGCATTTGAATGTGTTCAACTAGTACAAGTCCGGATACATCATTTCTTTTAGATTCCCTGGTGACAACAGAAACACAAACTAACCCCCAGTCATATAATGATCCGGATTTCACCGTTTTAACTGACATGGAAACTCAAACGACTTTTAATACTCTTGACTTTTATACCAACTTGACTGATTCTCATACCCAGACCTCATTTTATTAGACACTTAAAGCATAAGTCCTATTTGGAAGAACAAGAACTAGAGGCGAATACTGGTGTCGGATTTAGCTGTTCCGCTTACTAGGCCCTTCCAATGCATTTACCACCCACGACTAGTTGAAGATGAAAGTGCGTTTTAAACACAATTAAGCTAGGTCGATGATGATGGCGGGCGTTAAAGATTACAGTGCTTATAAGAAAGACATAATTATTATATACCTTGGTCAGAGGGCCCCTTTGCCTCATCCTGCCAAGCGTATACGTAAATCGGCCGGCACTGATGAATACATTATTTTATAACTAGAATTCTAGATGTGAGAGCTAAATTATTTTGTGTCATGCAAGTTGTTTGTGTGGACAGATTAGTTTGTCAAAATATTTAGGGTGGGATGGGGGCAAAATTGTCACTGTTCAGCTCAAAGCTTGATTGCCGCTATGACTTTACTTTGTGATATAAACCTATGTAGTTGATGTATACTTATGAATTGTTTATTATGTTCATGTAATATCGATATTAAATTATTAGAAAACTGTCATTTTATTTTATAACAAAAGTCCCATTCTAAATATATGGTGGATATCATGAATAGGCAAGTGAGCAATTTACATAATCATCTCAAGAGAAGAATTTGGGGTATGGGGGTGAATTGAAGTGCAAGGGGATTGTTGGTGGAGAACGTAAGAAGGGGTGTAAATTACCCGTTTGGACAAAAACATAGCCCCCCCCCCATATACTCTTCCAAAAAAGTAGGGGATATTCAGAAACAATACAAAACTGCAGAAATGCACTGCTGTTTTTATTAGAGGTAACCAGTGTATGTTAATAAGAGGCCAATTGCCTACACATGAACATAAACAGTTCATATGGGCGGCTTATCTGACGGCCCCATTTCACTCGCAAAGAGATACACTGTCTATCGTGGCATGCTCCTAATTAACCGCCCAATCACGATTTGGGGCAATCTGACCCACTCCTCTTGCAGTGCCACGGCCAATTCTTGCAGTGTTGTCGGTTGACGGTGACGTCGACGAACACGTCTCCCGATCAAATTAAACGTAACACACTAAAGCAAAGATATGCTAAACAGTAAATCTTATGCAAGAACCGATAGGAAAGCAAACATGGATAGGATAAACCAGCAAGCGTCAGTTTTCATCAACCCTTCCTTGAAGTGTCAAATTTGACAATGAACCCCTCCCACGTGTATGGCGCTATTGCGTGGCGCACATGCAGCTCAGTGATTCTGTTGGGGCGATAAGTTCTTCATTCGTGAACATACTCTCAAAGCACATCAAGTGTCCATGACTATTTTATAATACCACAACCTGCATAGTTAATTGCATTTCAATATCCCCTACTTTTTTTTGAAGGGTATATATTAGTAAATTCTATTCAACTACAGGCAATACTGCCTTTTTTTCACTTTTGCACCGATAGGCGCAATGTGTTACTGGATATAGCCTTTTCATTTTTATACACCCACATTGAATTGTGGTTGTGTCGAGTGGACTTTAAACCCATTTCTCTCCCTGTCTTGTAATTTGAATAATTAAATAAAAACAACGTTTAACATGAAGGCTTGAAACTTTTTATCTCTGAAAATAAATGAAGGAGGCCATCTTATTGGTGAGTCACCTACACCATGGTCACATTGTTTATCCACATTTGAGCAGCGCTTATATCTGTTACAAGAAATCGGTCTCCGGGTGAACACGCGTCGAATGATGGTCTGTTGATGAGACCCTCCAATGCCCATCCGCCCTCTCCGTTCTTACAGACAACCATACCACCATTATCACTCTAAAAAAATATATGCAAGAATATTTTAAACATGAAACTGGGGCGATATAACTATACAATATCATACCGTGGACTGGTCTTACGAGCGTTTGATAATGACGTGTGGCATGAGACTGCTGATTAAAAATTAGCTATATTTTCTCATATAAGCAGCATATTACTGGATATATAATGGGCCGACCTCTAGCAGGCGAATGATGACCGGACCGGTTTTAAGATCCACGGTCCTCTGTTGAATCTGACCTACGTAATGCAATGAAGGAATTACATCGTCAATTTTGAATTATGGGCGACCCACGCAACCCCCACCCAAACCAACCAACCACAAACTATATCAGACGTAACTAAACTGCTTCTGCGCCGCCCTATCAGACATCCATCAAACAAATTAATGTAAGCCTCTTACCATGCAAGTACTGCCATTTATTGCACTATCTTTGAATATTGCGAATGTTGTTAGCGGTTTGATAATCAGAGTATCCGAATCATCACAAAGCTTATTAACAAGATTCCATATTTCCGGTTTTATCAACTCAACTTCAGCGGTTAACAACTTGGTAGTTAATTCTGAAAACAAAAGAATTAATATACATGTATAACCCCACACCAACACTTTACTCCATTCAATTAATATAAACCTATATTATTATCGCCCTTTCTGAACTCTCTTGTGACTGAAGTTATAATTCAATACCTTTCTTTAAACTGATTATTATCCCGCGCCGAACGAAGTTAGGGAGGGATATTGAAATGGGGTCCGTCCGTCCGTCACGATTTCGTTTCCGGAGCATATCTCATAAACCGTTCAAGATATCTCTCTGAAACTTTGTACACACATCAACCTATTACAGTAGTTGTGCCTTTTGCTATATAGGAATTTCTGGGATTTATATTTTTTGTGTTTCCATGGAAACAAATTTGACTTAGTTTTTGGTGTACAATTTTGTTTCCGGAACATATCTCCTAAACCGTTCAAGATATCTTTCTGAAACTTTGTACACACATCAACCTACTACAGTAATTGTGTCTTTTGCTATTTATACATTTCTGGGATTTATATTTTTTGTGTTTCCATGGAAAGAAATATGACTTAGTTTTTGGTGTATAATTTTGTTTCCGAAGCATATCTCATAAACCGTTCAAGATATCTTTTTGAAACTTTGTACAGGCATCAACCCAATTACAGTAGTTGTGCCTTTTGCTATTTAGACATCTCTGGGATTTATATATTTTGTGTTTCCATGGAAACAAATTTTGTTTCCGGAGCATATCTCATACATCGTTGAAGATATCTTCTTGGCACCTGTACAAACATCAGTCTGTGATAGTTGTGCGTTTTGCTATTTAGGATTTTCTGGGATTTATATTTTTCGTGTTTCCATGCAAACAAATTTGACTTAGTTTTTGGTGTTCTAATTTGTTTACAGAGCATATCTCATTGTGCCTTTTGCTAAATTGGAATTTTGGGGATTTAATCAGTTTTGTGTTTCCATGGAAACAAATTTGACTTAGTTTTTATGCACAATTTTGTTTCCGGAGCATTTCTCATAAATCGTTCAAAATATCTTTTTGAAACTTTGAACACACATCATCCTATTACAGTAGTTGTGCCTTTTGCTAATTAAAAATTTGTCGGATTTAATAATTTTTGCGTTGCCATGGAAAATAATTCTCTGTTGAATGATTTTTACTACACAATTGAATTATTTTTTGGTATATAATTATTATTCTAGAGCATATCTCAGAGACTGTTCAAGATACCTTTATAACACTTTTACATTTATCAACCTATTATTTTATTTTTTGATGACCTCCCTTCTGTCCCGATTTCATTTCTAGAGCATATTTCATTATCTGTTCAGAGAAATCTTTTTAAAACTTTATACAAACATCAAACTATTAAAGTATTTTATTTTAGGATGTATAAGCTTAGTGTTTTTAAACATACAGCAGCTGATTGGGGTAGGCAAAGGTTGTTGTGCCGAGCTACTATGATCAGAGAGAGAGAGAGAAATGGGGTTTAACGTCCACCTTGTTCACACCTTGCATTAATTGCTTACATTTATATGGACACAAAAACCTGACACAGCCAAAATATATTGTGACAAAGTCCAGTATATAACTTTTCTCGCTTTTGCCATCTTTTTTTTATCCTATATATTATTAACATCACTGAGTCGAAGATGTAAAACACACTTGAAGGTCTATAAACAATATCAGTTGGCCATAAAGCCGGACACTTACCAGCTCCCAAACCTTCAGAGTAAGTGCCCCATCCAGCTATAACGCAATCCTTCGTATTCCAACTTAACTCGTCCGATTTACAAGCTTTACGAATACATCTTCCAAACTCCAGTGGTGATATCAATTTCAAAATAGCTAAATTATTGGCTGAAAAATAAAACAATGGCTTTTACATTGAAAGAACATCACCTTCAGGCTTAGCTGTCGGTAGAAATCAGTTGTGCAGATAACATAAAAAGGGGCTTTGACGTCTGCTTCCAATCGGACGGCAAAATGAAATTAGTAAAGAATTTAGACGGCAAAGGAAAGGGTGGTTACGGCGAAATTTTATCTTCTTTACATTACATTATATGAATATAAATTCGTGTAAGGATGGCTAAAGTGGAAAATAAAGTAATAAAAAAATGTATATCTTATTACCTTCCGTTTCGTCCGTTTCAGAAGCAAGGTCCCCAGAAGTAAAGGTCGAGGCGTCAGTCTTAAAATATTCTGGATGAATAGTGACTTTAGATACTCCCTTCCCGACTTCATTTGGTGTAAATGCATCTCCAACTTTAGTAAAATCGGCTGACTGTGTGTCGTATTCTCCAGCAATCACCAATATATTATCTTCAGCCGGTCCACTGGCAAAGGCAGTAGCTCTGTCAAGTAAAGAAATCACAATTTGTGATTTTAGGACTATCTAATCCCTTTAAAACTACTATATTGCCAAAGTTGGATCTATTATAGGGATATCAGTCCAAAATGACCCATTTCAGTTCTGTATTTAAAAAGAGATGACCAATTGACAATTACACCAAGTCAGTGCCGGACAGGTCCGTGACAGGTGGGCCTAAGCCTATAAAGAAAAAAGAGAAAGAAAAAAAGAAAAGATAAAGAAAGGAGAGGGGGAGGAAAGAAAAGAAAGAAGGAATGAGAGGACAGGACACAGGACAGGAGAAAGAAAAGATGGTAAAAAAACGACTAGGAAAAAAAATGAATGACAAACAACTTGTCACAACATTATAAAATTATAGTTGACTAGTGCCATCAACCTAAAAGACCCGAAGAATACTTTGGCTATCCTTGAAGCTAAAGAAATAATTTGTTACTTCTTTAGAGAACAATTATCAGTTATCATCACAGAAGTAAACAAATATCATCATAAGCTCGTGAGGTTCATGAGCTTATAATGATATTCGTTTACTTCTGTGAGTTCGAAGATTCTCGATATATTCTGTGATGTGCGTCAAATACGTGTACTGTATGTATGTTATAATTTGCATTAATTTCATCACGGAGAATAAAAGTTTTTTGTTTTTGACACTGAAGAGAATTCTCAAATTCATCTAATGATAGTTCTCTTAGGTCATTCTGTTATCTAATTGTACCAGGAAATCAAAAATTTGCCTTCTTCTACTTTGGTCTGAAATGCTTGGAAAATGGGTTAGCGGTTGTCAATTTTCAAAATTTTCATGGGGGAGACCCCCCCCCCAGACCCCACTCGGACGCTCGAGGGACGCGACCTTCGGCGCATACTAGACTAGTAGTTTGGGCCTTGGTCAATGACCTGACAGGTGGGCCTTTGGACCACCAGTCCGGCTCTACACCAAGTCGAGTACTGATTTCAAAATGTTCACTGTGTCTTAAGACCGCTCATTTGCAAATTAAGATAATATTGAGTGAGGGGTTTAGCCAGTGATATGGAATTCTAATTTTCTATAAATAACGGCCACCTACTATAGACTTTTGAATGAATGAAATGGGTTTTAAGGTCCTAATTCTCTGCTCCAACTGGGATAATCAAGACGGACATACGCCATGTCGCGTGCTACGGGGGCGTGGTTCCGGTGTGGTTTCTCCTTATCAGTGGTGCGGGACACGGATCCCGTGTACGCATTCCCGTATAGGTAAAAGAATCCTTCACAGTTGGAATTCGATATAAGAGTAGACCATAATGCCGTTATTCGAGAAAAATGTCCTGCATAGCACACTGCATGACGTATTCCCGTTTTCATTAGCCCTGTCGGAGCAGAACAGTAAGACGTTAAACCCCATTTCATTTCATTTCTTTAAAAATTGCCGCGATTCAAAAAACCTCTTGAAATATTCACTGAAACAACCACCAAAACTAAAATAGTTATTAACTTACAAGATGACACAAGCAGCGGTTGTAACAACATGGTTTTCATCAATTATGACACCATTACAGAAGGGGACGCTGTTAGAACTTGAAGGATCGAGTTCAACATCTTCACCGGATCTTCCTCGAATGGATACTTGCCACGGCCAGTCACACTTTTTGCTTGGGGAGCCACCCAAAATCCTAAAAGTAACATCTTCTGGCTGTACTCCACACTGTTGTTCAACAGGGGGAGCTGGTTCTGGGGTTGTAGTTGTTGGCACGGTGGTACTAGTAGATGTGGGAACAGTGGTAGGAGCAACAGTTGTTGTTGGCACGGCGGTACTAGTAGATGTGGGAACAGTGGTAGGAGCAACAGTTGTTGTCGTTGTTGTTGTTGTTTGTTCTGAAAATATATTCAAATATGGATACAAGCAAAAACAAGCAAATCTTTTGTTGATGTTATTGTAAATAGTATAAGCACGATGTATAAGCTTCATTTTATAAAATTATAGATTTTAAACAAGTTGCCACAAAGCACAGATTAAAGTTTATTTTCCTTATTTTTCTTGGGAGCCGCGATGGTTCATGGAGTAAAACGCTGGCTCCTGGTGTTGGCCTAGAAATTTCCTCAGGATTTTCCGGCGTGGTTTCCCCATGTCAAGGTTGCAGAACGGGGGAACAGTGTTTAGTCATTCAGATGGGACGAGAAGCCAAGGTCCCGTGTATCCGTAAAAGAACTCTTGATATTTGGAATTCGAAACAAGAGTATGCCATGCCATATAAAGCCGCTGTCCGAGCAAATTTTCCTCATAGCACAGTGTGGTGTATGTCCGTCTTCGTGAGCTCATCCCACCCGAACCTGCGTACCAATTAACCAACGTCTTAATAAGAGTATGCCATATAAAGCTGCTGTCCGGGCAAATTTCCCTCATAGCACAGTGTTGCGTATGTCGGTGCAGAAAACTAGGACGCTAAACCCCATTTCTTTTTTCATCTATGCCCCACCCCAACCCAACCTGCGTACCCAATAACCACCCGTCTTGTTTTTCGCTGTTACATGCTATGATTGGAGAACATACTAAACAGTTCATTAGATCGACCTACCTTCTTCAACACAGCATTTGGTTCCAGCACATGCGTAAATTGCCAATGCTTGATACGAAGGGACGCCAAATCCCTCGCATGATGCTAAACACATGGCATTTTTACCAGGGTGTAAGTCCGCACATGCTGTAAACAAAAACAAAATGAACAAGACCAGCAGATTAATTTAAGGTACTTAAGAAATAATGTTCGTAATGTTTAGTAATAATTTTCGTAATGTTTAGTAATAATTTCCTTGGTTGGTATGATTAGTCTTGGCGAAATTTAGGTTTATGTAGCCATCTCATACACAATTTACCAAATCTACACATTTTTACAATTGACCTTAATGTAGGTGTGTTTGGAGATACATCCAGATTTTAAAAAAAACATCTAGTTAAGATATTCTGGAGTTTTTCTATTTAGACATTTCCGGGCAATACACAGGATTTTTAAATATATTCTGTGTACGATTGGTAGCCAGTCCAGCTCCTTTAAAATAATATTATGTGTAATATATGGCAGTTTTTATCTGATCATCTGACAATCCTTGTAATGGTTTGCACATTTGGAAGATGGTTTGTTACAAATATTTGTACAATATTTGCAGTAGCCGCCGCAATATTATGTTATTGCACTCAATATTACATTTATATAATACATATAAATGTTAAATCTGACTTATCATATTTTTTCACTATAAAATATTATAATTGAGCATAGAGCATAAAAATAATTTGGTGATTTTAAGATATTTGAAAATGAGTAAGGATGATGATTTCTACATCAATTGGAAGAGAACTACGTGCTCTTCATTTTAAGAGAATAATTTTTTGGTTATTTTTGACTTATCACAATTAAAATGGAAAACATATACAGAAGTTCCGATTTAAAGATGCAAATCACGGTAGGTATTCTTGCAATTAGTGGTATAGCAAATTTGACACTGAGCAACATTTGACAGATATTATAAAAGCTAAATTTCTAACAGGACTATCAGTCAAAAAATGGTAACACCCCTAGTCAAAGATACATTGTCTCAGGTACCGGGCAAACCCCCTCCTGCAAAACCTCCTGGATCCGCCCCTTCAAAAAGTGTTTATTAAGTAGTGAGAAATTTGGTATTTTCCGACAAAATGCATCAGATACATCGTTAATTTAACGAAGTGTGCAAATTATCCAGATAGTATTATTCTTAACTATAAATTCTACCACGGCCTGTACATTTACTAATATAAACTCATCTAAAAGATTATAGCTAAAGCAATGATCCTCAACCGTTCTTGTACCACCGCCACGTAGCTTACTCAGTGCTATTGCGGCCGCGAAAAAGGTATCAAAAGTAACACCAAACCAGTTCGGGTTAATAGGATCTACTACTAAAAACTCCGCCAGAGAGTTAAATATAGAAAATTTAAAAAAAAAATGAATTACCAGCAGAAGTCCGCCAGAGAGTTAATTATATAAAAAAATTTTAAAAAATTATAACAGCATAAGTGAAGGAAAGTGTTTCTTGTCATGTATACAAATAGAAAATACAACTAAACGATCCCTTGGAAGTTGGGTTTCTCTATCGTTTGCATTACACATGACGTAGACATGAGAACAAATTAAAGTGTCTACGTAGTGTCGACCAGTACTTAAATTCATATACATTCAATTACCGATTGTGATAGGTTTTTAAAGATTTATGTTAAAATCGAATATTATGGAAAATATTGAGTTAGAGACTTAGCTCCTTTAATCAATGTTAACTGTTTTCATAACGGCAATTATAACCACTGATTAGCTTAACTCGTCAGGTTTTTATTCAGAGGGCACACACGGTAAGCTATATATTCAATTAGAATTATCTGCCCAAAAATTCTTAAAACTTCAAATACTTTTAATTGAGGTAAATCTAATTTAGAGAAAATGTTTCAACGGTTTAGCTGCAAATAATTGGCATGATTAAAAGATTACAATATATGAAATCCATAGAATCAAGCCACACTAAAATATCCCTCTACGTAGACCATCTTCGAAACCGCTGCGATCCTACTTTATCGACAAATCTCTTTGGTATCACAGAATGTCAAATTTTCAGTCAATACTCCATCTACTTTTACGACCAGTTAATTCTTTTCAAATTTGTTAGGTTTGCTCGGTTAGTCATGAGAAAAAATTTAGAGCTGGGCATGAATTTTACACTGAGTAACTGACCCTTTCATCGAAAGCTTGTAAATGCTCATTGTATCGGAGTTTTTTAGATTTTTGTATATTAACCCTGCCTTGTTTATTTGACCGGACATGAGTTGAATCCCGGTTTAATTGTTGTTCTTGTCATGTATACAAATAGAAAATACAACTAAACGATCCCTTGGAAGTTGGGTTTCTCTATCGTTTGCATTACACATGACGTAGACATGAGAACAAATTAAAGTGTCTACGTAGTGTCGACCAGTACTTAAATTCATATACATTCAATTACCGATTGTGATAGGTTTTTAAAGATTTATGTTAAAATCGAATATTATGGAAAATATTGAGTTAGAGACTTAGCTCCTTTAATCAATGTTAACTGTTTTCATAACGGCAATTATAACCACTGATTAGCTTAACTCGTCAGGTTTTTATTCAGAGGGCACACACGGTAAGCTATATATTCAATTAGAATTATCTGCCCAAAAATTCTTAAAACTTCAAATACTTTTAATTGAGGTAAATCTAATTTAGAGAAAATGTTTCAACGGTTTAGCTGCAAATAATTGGCATGATTAAAAGATTACAATATATGAAATCCATAGAATCAAGCCACACTAAAATATCCCTCTACGTAGACCATCTTCGAAACCGCTGCGATCCTACTTTATCGACAAATCTCTTTGGTATCACAGAATGTCAAATTTTCAGTCAATACTCCATCTACTTTTACGACCAGTTAATTCTTTTCAAATTTGTTAGGTTTGCTCGGTTAGTCATGAGAAAAAATTTAGAGCTGGGCATGAATTTTACACTGAGTAACTGACCCTTTCATCGAAAGCTTGTAAATGCTCATTGTATCGGAGTTTTTTAGATTTTTGTATATTAACCCTGCCTTGTTTATTTGACCGGACATGAGTTGAATCCCGGTTTAATTGTTGTTCTTGTCATGTATACAAATAGAAAATACAACTAAACGATCCCTTGGAAGTTGGGTTTCTCTATCGTTTGCATTACACATGACGTAGACATGAGAACAAATTAAAGTGTCTACGTAGTGTCGACCAGTACTTAAATTCATATACATTCAATTACCGATTGTGATAGGTTTTTAAAGATTTATGTTAAAATCGAATATTATGGAAAATATTGAGTTAGAGACTTAGCTCCTTTAATCAATGTTAACTGTTTTCATAACGGCAATTATAACCACTGATTAGCTTAACTCGTCAGGTTTTTATTCAGAGGGCACACACGGTAAGCTATATATTCAATTAGAATTATCTGCCCAAAAATTCTTAAAACTTCAAATACTTTTAATTGAGGTAAATCTAATTTAGAGAAAATGTTTCAACGGTTTAGCTGCAAATAATTGGCATGATTAAAAGATTACAATATATGAAATCCATAGAATCAAGCCACACTAAAATATCCCTCTACGTAGACCATCTTCGAAACCGCTGCGATCCTACTTTATCGACAAATCTCTTTGGTATCACAGAATGTCAAATTTTCAGTCAATACTCCATCTACTTTTACGACCAGTTAATTCTTTTCAAATTTGTTAGGTTTGCTCGGTTAGTCATGAGAAAAAATTTAGAGCTGGGCATGAATTTTACACTGAGTAACTGACCCTTTCATCGAAAGCTTGTAAATGCTCATTGTATCGGAGTTTTTTAGATTTTTGTATATTAACCCTGCCTTGTTTATTTGACCGGACATGAGTTGAATCCCGGTTTAATTGTTGTAAGACTGAGGCACCAAAAATATGCAAGAGCTAAATCTGCCCATTTCTGGTCTTTCTTTAGGCCTGAAATGTTATCTAAATGATTAATTAGACATTAATTAACTTAATCAACGCTCGATGCCATCGCTAGCCTGTGATATTTAGCGGATGGAAATACATTTTGTGATGGATAATCAAAACTTTGTTTTTTATCGTACCGCCTTTAGTAATGATGATCGAGGCTAACTTAAAATTCCAAAGCTAATATTACAATTCATAGTAGAGCAATTTGACTGAAACTGTCAGCATATTCTATATACTTTATCTATTTTTTAAGTATTATAGCGAGAACTGACAAATCTTTATCTAATTTCCATAATGCCCCTTTAATTATGAGGTCATTCACTAATACATGTACCCGGAGTCATGATAGAATCACATTATGAAAAATATAATTTTAACTTTATAAAACTATTTACATATATTATACAATATTGCTACATCATTTCACCAGTTTGCTTATTGGTGTATAGTCGTAGCGTTGAAATCCCGTTCGGTTGTTTTGTTTCATTGTCTTTTTTAAAAAATCAGGATGGGCACCGACACATCCATTCAACACACAAAGAGATAACTACTTCAAAAATATACCTCTGCCCTGAATGGTCGCTATATCCAAAAATTAATATACCATGTGTATTTTGTAATGTGTATCTTCTCCGTTTAACATCTGCCATACACACAAAAACTAAACAAACCTTATTTCATTAAATGGAAGCGGAATAAATACTTCTCAAAATTCGCGATGTATAGTCGATTTAGATTTTTAAATGTCGGTCATCTAGCTTAGTGTATATTCTCAAGCGGGGCTAATTGTCGACATACAGTATAAGTTTAGTATGAAACACATCTACCCGGCTTCAATACCACCAAGATCTGCCTTTGTCATTTGGTTAATAAATGATAACACGTTTCCATAATATCTAGTTCTTAGATAATGTCGAAATATATCACATATTTTTATGGGCACTGAGGGTCGAGGGTAGTTATTCTAATCCCTATCAATAAAATAAACTTCGCGTAAATGGTCGGCTATTGGTTCTTCTATAATAAAATTTCTCGAGAAATTTGGCAATTTTACATCTAAATAAAATTGTCTGCGGTATAAAGTGCATTAGTTCGTGACAGTTACCCGTTAAAATTAACAAAATCTCCATAAAAAAACTAAAAAAACCCACCCAATTTCACAAGAAACTGGTTTTTAATACTTACAAATAGCAGAAGATGTGCCGACACAGAGTGCCAGGATAACTGCTAAAACCTTCATAATGCTAAGTATCACAACTTTACTGATCAACTGATGTGTGTCTGTGCACCCCTTGCCTTTTATACCTTCGGAAACCTGATGGTCCAACAACTCTAAGATTCTAGTTTATAAAGAAAGAGAGCAACGCCTCAACAGTAAATATCCTGGTCAATGCATAAGCCAGAACCTGAGTAAAATCAAGGTACCATGTACCTTTAAAACTGTGTATTGTGTTAATCAAATAGATGGCGGTCATATTGTTGTCAAAGAAAAACACTTTTAATATCAGTCCCCCCAAAAAACGATATCGACATTTCTGTAGATTTGTTCGCTACAATGTGTAATATTTACAGAGGTTTGGCCACTCCCTCGACCTTTCATTATTGTTATCTGCATAACGTGCTACGTTCTTCGTCCAAATAAAATATACAACTGGTTAAGTTAGTGACGTGTTGCAGTTATGGATAATTACTAGACATAAAGGGTTATTTTTATATAAGAATTTATGCATAGGTTTTCGGGTTTCAGAATATAAAGGCTTTATATATACGTCATGTGGAGCGAAGAGAACAGGGGTTGGCGCTAAGAAACTCAGATAGCAACTGGCGAAGTCTAACGGGCCAACTATGGGCCTTGTCGGTGATTCTGTGCGGTCAAAAACCATCAGCGGGTGCATAAAAAGTCCGGCAGCAGTCGACTTCGATAGACTACGACTGGGGAAGAAGCATATAGAAACACCGATTTGTTCCGACACCATATCGGCGCCATACCGACAAGCGATTTTTCTGTCGGGCAAAAAGCCGCCTGTATAGTGGTCCGATAGGCATTCATCAACATGTGGCGAGTGGGCGCTTGCGCGCTTTTTGACGATTTGGACTAATTTCGCGGCCCATTCTAGAGGTCACACTTTTTATCTCCGATCCTGTCAATATTTGCGCATATCGAACCGTAAATTCCTGGTTTATGGCCCCTGATTGTACTTTAAAATTGCGTTTTTAGCTTGTGGTCCCTGTAGAGGTTACAATAATTATCCGTTCGAACCTATCACCGTTACACCATAATGACGGCTGAGAGCGAATTTCGTGAAAATCGGACCGAAACTGCCCGACAAAATAGCCGTTCCTCGTACGCAAATAGTGTAATCGTATGGTATATCAAAGTTGTGGACCCCCCAGAGGTCACAATTTGGATCCGATTTTTACAAAATTTCAAATTTATTATTATTATTATTATTTTGGTGTATTTCTATAGCGCACCTTTCACAAAGTGCTCAGATGCGCTTTACAATTCAATGAAATTATAAAATGCGGATAGACAATATGATAAAAACTAATTGGAATAATAATAATAAAAAAATAATAAATTGGCACACATTAAAAGTATCACAATAATAATAGCGTAAAAGAAATAAAAATTAAGTTATAAAGTCAGTAGTAAAGGTCAATAAAATGCTTTAGTAAATAAAAAAAAGTTTTTAGATTAGATTTAAAAGTCTGAAGTTATTCTTACTGTTAATGGTAATTTATTCCATAGTTTATAAGGAGCTTTAATAGCGAACGACTTTTCACAAAGCGGGGTTGACGGTTGAGTTTATACTGATAGGGGGGTTGGATGGCTGAATGGTTAGCACGTGCGTGCTGTATCATAAAGTCTGTCATTGAGTCAACTGGCGGGGTTTCGAATCCCCGGTTGTACGTGACAAGGAGTAGGGTCGCCTGTCCAACTTCGTGGGTTTTCTCCGGGTCCTCCGGTTTCCTCCCACTGCTAAAGACCCCTACGCGCATGCGAATTATGGAAATAAAATTGAACCATATGTTAGTCCCGAAATGACCTAGTTTGTGTCGAGTGGACGTTAAACTCCATTTCTCTCTCTCTCTCTCTTATACTGATAATAACTGAGATAGGTACACAGGAGCCAAACCATTTTGACATTTGAAGGTTATTAGTAGGATTTTATAGTCAATTCTGTAAGTAATAGGTAGCCAGTGGAGGTTAAATAATATTGGTGTTATATGATTAAATTTTGAAGATCCAGTTATAAGGCGGGCAGCAGAGTTTTGGAGTTTTTGAAGTTTGTCGAGTGATTTTTTGGAACACCAGAAAGCAGTGAGCTGAAATTGTCCGGTCTAGAAATAACTAAAGCTTGAATTGGTGACTTAGTAGCATCTGTTGAAATTTATTTCGTGATTTTACCAATGTTTCTCAGGTGAAAGTAACCTGTTTTACAAATGTTATTTATTTGGCACTCCATATTCATATGTGAATCGAAAATAGCTCCAATGTTTCTAGTGGATTTAGATTGAGATATAGTAGACCCCACTACACGAACTGATAAATCGCCATTCAGTTTAGAAAGATTGAATTTTGAGCCTATTACTAAATATCCAGTTTTGTCATCATTTAATTTAAGGAAATTTTGTGACATCCAAACTTTAATACTGTCAATACACTGTTCAATGTTAATTTGAGATATATTGAGATTGTCAGGATTTGAGGGATTAAACGAAATATATAACTGTGTGTCATCGGCATAGAGGTGATATTCAAGTCCATGTTTTCTAACCAGATTACCAAGAGATGATGTATATAAACTGAACAATAGAAGGAGAGTTATTGTGTTACGAATTCTCGACCAATCAAACTGCTTATAGCTCTGCTTACCCTGAGCAGAACATTTTCAGTATCGAACTTAGTCAAGGTATTGATATAATGAAACTATACAACAAGTGGCGGCGCCAAGGGGGGATTCCTCCTAAATCTGCCCTGGCCTCAGTTTGCTCCCCTCACCCACCCAAATAAATTTAAAAAAATATAATAAAAAAAATATTTGTGATATGTTTCGGTAATCAATACCTTCTGCGGTGATTCAATCCCACATTCTCACTCAGTCATAGCCTGTTGTACAGTCTGGGAGATTTCCTACCTAACCCATCCGGTTGTAAACCTACTATAAACAATAACACGTGAACCACTTGAGAAGTACTTTTTACGATTCTCAAAGTTTGGGGATATAGGTTCAACGCGGCAAGGCTATTTATTCACTTGGATTCGCTCACTCCGTTCGCTACCTCTCTGTTCGGATAAGTTAGTGATTTGGCGACAGACAGTATCTGGTCAGCTCTATTTATCTCGACGACCAGTGTCTGAAATATTGCCAGACTGCATTTCAGGCAATCTATTTCTCAAAATATTGTCGCGAAAATATTCATTCACCTTGATTCACTCACTTCGTTCGTTTGACACTTTCCTCTCTGGCCTGATAAACTAGTGATTTGTCGTCAGACGGTATCTGGTCAGCTCTATTTATCTCAACGATCAGTGCCTGAAATACTGCTAGACTCATTTCGAGAGCTTCATGCTCAGTTGAAAACGAACGTGGATCTATCACTATGCGCTCGGATCCGAGTAATACATTCCTATTTTTAACAGTATGAAAATAAAATTATCAATATATTTTCTAAAACAAAATTCAGGTTCATCGCCCAAAACTGACACGTCTGTGAAATCAGATTCCATCAGCGTTTGGGAGAGCTTCGTGTGTATTGTTAACTTTTCTGAAAGAGACTGACTTACTTTTCTATGCTCCGTGTTCACTGCGAATACTCTGTTTTCAAAGGGTAATATGCACACTTTGGTATTGTCCGTCAATGGCAAATCTGGTTTATACATTTTCGTATCCAAGCTATTTCCGGTTTGCTTTGACCACCCGGTATACTTTTTGAAAACCCGACAAGACCGATTTATAGGACCCAACTGGAAAATGGTAATAAGGCTCCAAAATAAAAAAGTCGGTCTAGTAACCTAGACATAAATTTTATGCCATTTGCAATTCCCGATACGTGTGATGACAGATACTCCGGTAACATATAAAGAGTGGCAATGTTGGGCTGCGTAGGTAGCGTGCAACAAGCTCAAGGGCAGTTAACTCTGTTTGGCTCAATATTTGGTCCAAAAACTACGGTCACTAATTAGTGCGAATTAATTAAGCTCTTAAATAGCATTAGCACAACATTCTTTGCACTTAAGTCATGCATTCAGTTTCTTAGTGTTAAGTATGAAACGTTTTCAAGAAAATTCTAGATGGACATTGAATTTTAACTCCCATTAAATATGGGAGGGTTAAGGGGAGCGCTCACAGGTATATGCAGAGTTTACAAAACTTAAGACTTGACTTTCCAAAATGATCTAGGGGTAAAACATGTGTTGTAGGCCTCAAATCTTTTGGACTAAATATTTTGATTAAATCTCACTGGGCTCCCGGACTATATAGTACATCATAAAAAGCAACATTTTATGTTTATGAAATGTAAATAAGCGACACCTCAACTGTCAATATTCTGATGTGATTTCAAGTGATTTTTACAATGTCTTGACCAAAATGTCCTTTCCAGATTTTATTATAATGGAAAATATAAATGAATCCAATTCACTAAAATAAGCAGTGACCTAAATTGCCGACTTATGATTGGCTAACGTTTCTTGGCTCTGCACCTTTGAATAGGTCCATTAAGGGCCCCATCGTTCCCAGGTTTTTTTTTTATTTGATTAACGTTTAGGTAAATATGTCTGTATCCAATAGGTCTACATTATTTCAATAAATGCATCCAACCGTAGAATAAAATGCAAAGGGGTGACCATAAATCAGTTTAAAGTAATTTTTATAGATACGATAAATATCCCGAGGGCAAATTTAAGCACGCTGTACGTAGATTTATATACCATATTTCCTCTCCAATAAAAATGAGTTTTTCCACAATGCCCTTTTCGTCTTTCTGATTCTGAGACCCCCCCCCCCTCCCGCCACTGTACAACCATACATTATTTTAAGGGGTTGGTTGTGAGCAGGTTGTTGCCGGTATTGAGCGACGGACGCCATGTTAGTTCTGGGGAGTTTGAATGTAAATACCCGAATGTTCACTATGTTATCGCATCGGTCAATGTGTCAAACTATTTTAAAACGTGCAAAAATATTAAATTTTTAAATTTTCTCACCCAAATATTTATTGTTTAATAAAAATAATAATAAAGATCCATGGACCGACTTATCTCCGGGCCCGTCTTTCCACGTGGGGGTTATAGAACAATTTAATTTGACAGGT